TTGGCCCAGCAGGTTGGTGCCCTCTTTAACAACTGAGACATACATTCTAGAAACAGTTGCCAGGCCATTGCTGCCCTTCCCACCAGGGCACATGCCCTTGCTGTGCCCATCCTCACAGGCAGCCCCTCTTACCATTGCCCATTCTTTCCCCTGCAGCTGCCCCCCTCCCTGGCTTCAGTGCAGTGCTGGTCAGCTCAGTGCCCCTGGGGGGTGGCCTCTCCAGCTCAGCATCCTTGGAAGTGGCCATGTACACCTTTCTTCAGCAGCTCTGTCCAGGTACCACCTAGGCCCCAGCCCTGACCCAGCCCTCCTTTCCTGATGTCTCTAGGTGGTCCGAGTTTCTACTGTGGCTTACGGAGGGGGTGGTGGGGAATCTCTCTGGAGTGTCATTGGAGCCACTGCTGCTCCCACCAGCCCTGGCCTTCCCACCTCACCCTGTTCTGCAGACTCAGGCACAATGGCTGCCCGCGCCCAGGTGTGTCAGCGGGCCGAGCACAGCTTCGCAGGGGTGCCCTGTGGCATCATGGACCAGCTCATCTCACTGATGGGGCAGAGAGGCCACGCGCTGCTCATTGACTGCAGGTGGGGTTCGCTCCCCTCGTCCCCTCCCACCTGCACTCAGGAGCTCCTGGGCAGAGTGCCCACCGCCTGGTGCAGCAAGCACACACTTGGCCTCGTGATCTCCCCCACTGTAACTCCACCCCAGGTCCTTGGAGACAAGCCTGGTGCCACTCTCAGACCCCAAGCTGGCCGTACTCATCACCAACTCCAATGTCCACCACTCCCTGAGCTCCAGCGAGTACCATGTGCGGCGGCGACAGTGTGAGGAAGTGGCCCGGGCGCTGGGCAAGGAAAGCCTCCGGGAGGTGCAGATGGAAGAGCTGGAGGGTGAGAACTGGCTGGGGCGCTCTGTCTTAGAGGTGGCTACACTCCCTGCTGGCACCTCAGTGTGGCCTGGACCCTGCCCAGGACCCTGATCTCCAGGGCCTCTGCCATGCTCTGTCCAGTCCCTCCAAACACAGCGAAGCAAACCCAGGACTCCAACCTCAGCAGGGCTGCTGGAAATCCTGCAATGATCTTATCTAATCAGAGAATCATGTTTCCATTGTGGAAAATGTGGGAAGTACAGAGTAGAAAATGAACTATAAGGCCACTACCCAGAGATAGCCACTATTAACATTTTCAAATTTCCTTTCAGTATTTTTCTGCATCTGTTTTCAAAGCTGAGTATATGTAATATATCATCATTTGCCCCTCCTTTTTTAAGAATCAGGGTCTCATTCTGTTGCCCAAGCTGGAGTGTAGTGGTGTGATCATAGCTCTCTGCAAACTTCAGCTCTCAATTCTTGGGCTCAAGGGAGCCTCCAGCTTAGCCTTCCAAGTAGCTGAGATTACAGGTGTGCCACCATGCCCAGCTTTTTTTGTTTGTTTGTTTTGAGACGGAGGTTCGCTGTTGTTACCGAGACTGGAGTGCAATGGCACAATCTTGGCTCACTGCAACTTCCACCTCCTGGGTTCAAGCAATTCTCCTGCCTCAGCCTCCCAAGTAGCTGGGACTACAGGCGTGCACCACCATGCCCAGCTAATTTTTGTATTTTTTTAGTAGAGACGGGGTTTCACCTTGTTGACTAGGATGGTCTCGATCTCTTGACCTTGTGATCCACCCGCCTCGGCCTCCCAAAGTGCTGGGATTATAGGCGCGAGCCACCACGCCCAGCCCCAGCTTTTTTATTTTTGATTTTTGTAGAGACAGGGTCTTGCAGTGTTGCCCGGGCTGTCTTGATCTCTGGTCTCAAATGATCCTCCTGTCTTGGCCTCCCAAAATGTTGGGATTATAGGCATGAGCCACTGTGCCCAGCCCACTTGCCACTTTTTTTGTTTAACTAAACATTATCTCAGAACCCTATCTTAGGCTCTTAGACCATGAAAGGCCCAGCTCAGTGTGGCTCTATTATTTTTGTGTGTGTGTGACACAGTCTCTCTCTGTTGCCCAGGCTGGAGTGCAGTGGAGCAGTCTCGGCTTACTGCAACCTCTACTTCCCGGGTTCAAGCCATTCTTCTGCCTCAGCCTCTCAAGTAGCTGGGATTACAGGCAGGCACCACCACACCCGGCTAATTTTTGCATTTCTAGTAGAGAAGAGGTTTCACCATGTTGGTCAGGCTGGTCTCAAATTCCTGACCTCGTGACCTGCCCAAATCAGCCTCTCAAAGTGCTGGGATTACAGGCATGAGCTACTGCATCTGGCCTTTTTTTTTTTTTTTTTTTTTTTGTATTTTTAGTAGAGACAGGGTTTCACTATATTGGCCAGGCTGGTTTTGGACTTCTGACCTCAAGTGATCCGCCTGCCTCCTCCTCCCAAAATGCTAGGATTATAGGCACAGGTGTGAGCCACCACACCCAGCCTATCTGCATTCTCTTAATATTTTCTTAGGAATGGACTCTTAGGAGTAGGATTACAGAGTCAAGGCACAAGTATTCTAGGCTGCGTGCAGTGGCTCACACCTGTGCCTGTAATCCTGGCACTTCGAGAGGCCAAGGCGGGAAGATTCATTCAGCTCAGGAATTTGAGCCCACCCTGGGCAACACGGCAAAACCCCATCTCTAAAAAAATACAAAAATTAGTCAGGCATGGTGGTGTGTGCCTGTAGTTCCAGCTACTTAGAGGCTGGGGTGGGAGGATCACTTGAGCCCAGGAGGTTGAAGCTGCAGTGAGCTGTGATTCTACCATTGCACTCCGGCCTGGGCCACAGAGTGAGACCCTGTCTCCAAAAAAAGAAAAAGATTCTTAAGGCTCCTGCTACTATTGGACCAGGAAGGTAGTCTGTTGGACAGTTTTAAGGTCATAATGATATTAATTCATTTAATTCCCCCAAAACTCTAAAGCATATTCTGTTATCATAATTCTTATGTTTTTGATGGGGGAATCTATAGTGAGAGGCAGTGGTGCGATCTGAACCCTGTCTGGACAGATGAGCTCCAGGCCTCACGCGCTTGACTCCCTGGCTGTGCTGCCCACACTGAGTTGCCCCTTCCTGGCAGTGTAGGTGTGCCCATCTCCAGGACACTAGACCGCTCTGAGGGACCACCCTGTCCTTTGGCTTTGTGAACTGTCACGTTCTCCAGAACAGCACTCAGACTGCCCTGCCTGCTCTGTGCAGATGACCTTGGCCAAGGTTTTCACACTGGAACAAGTCGGTCCCTCCTCCCCACGCCAGCCTGTCCTTGCTGCCCCTCCTCCAGGTCTCCTTCTGCCTAGGAGCAACTCACCCTGCCTCCTCCAGAGTCCTGCCCTAGAAGCCCCAGTCCCTCTCCTTCCGTCCCCTGCCTGGGTCCTTCCCTCAGCCTCCAAGACACGCTCAGTTTCTTTCCCTCCTAAAACACCGCCCCCTATCTCATTTCCATTCCATTTTTCCTTGTTTCCTCTGAGAGGGCACCTCTGTTGCCCAGGCTGGAGTGCAGTGGCATGATCTCTGCTCACTGCAACCTCTGCCTCCCAGGTTCAAGTGATTCTCCTGCCTCAGCCTCCCTCCCGAGTAGCTGGGATTACAGGCGCCTGCCACTATGCCTGGCTAATTTTTGTATTTTTAGTAGAGACGGGGTTTCCCCATGTTAGCCAGGATAGTCTCGAGCTCCTGACCTCAAGTGATCCGACTGCCTCAGCCTCCCAAAGTGCTGGGATTACAGGCGTGAGCCACCATGCCTATTTTTTAGTCCTTTGAATCTACTTGCCCCTCCATCCTGCCATGACACCTGCCCTAACAACCTTCCCCCTTAAACCCGTGTGTTTGGCTGGGCACTGTACCGAGTCAGTACCTGTACTGACCCAGGTCCCCCTCCAGCCTCAGCTCCAGCCAGATGGGACAGCCTGCTGGTCCCTGGCTGCTCCTGCCCCCTCTTCGGAGCCCCAGCCCTAGAGGCTCCATGTGGCTCAGCAGAATTTTCTTCTCCTGCTGCTCCGTGGTGGCCTCTTGAGGGCAGCACTCACCTTGGAGAACATAGAGAGTTTCCACCATCATTGTGCCCTGAAGGACCAAGCTGTCCCATTTTACAGTCAGGGGAGGAGGCGCTGTGATGAAGGGGCTCTTCAGACCCATGCCCAAGAGAGCCAGGCTGCCCTGCCCCCCTCGGCCTCCCACCCTTCTCTGTTGAGTGCCCTGGCAGGGCCACTGCCATTACTGCCTGCCAGCCCCCACAGGTGTCGAGGCCCCAGGCAGTAGGAGGGCGGCTGCTGACTCCTTTTTCCTCCCCAGCTGCTAGGGACCTGGTGAGCAAGGAGGGCTTCTGGCGGGCCCGGCATGTGGTGGGGGAGATTCGGCGCACGGCCCAGGCAGCAGCCGCCCTGAAGCGTGGAGACTACAGAGCCTTCGGCCGCCTCATGGTGGAGAGCCACCGCTCCCTCAGGTGAGGCCCTCTGGGTGCCCCACTCCTGCTGGGCCCAAGCTGGCCCAAGCCCACCCCTCCGACATCTTCTCTGCAGAGACGACTACCAGGTGAGCTGCCTGGAGCTGGACCAGCTGGTGGAGGCCGCGCTCGCTGTGCCTGGGGTTTATGGCAGCCGCATGACGGGTGGTGGCTTCGGTGGCTGCACAGTGACACTGCTGGAGGCCTCAGCCACTCCCCAAGCCATGCAGCACATCCAGGTGGGCAGGTACCAGGGCTTGGGTGAGCAGGAGCGGTGGCTTCCCGGGGCCCTGCCACTCACCCCCGGCCCACCTCTTTTAGGAGCAGTACAGTGGAACCGCCACCTTCTACCTCTCTCAAGCGGCCGATGGAGCCAAGGTGCTGCCCTTGTGAGGTGCTGCAGGACTGCACACAGCTCTGCACCTGGAGCCGCCTTCCGTATCTGGCTGCTCAATAAACTTGTGCCTCCAGCGTGGAACCTGCCTGCCTCTAGAGGTGGGTGTCTGCTTGGGCGTAAGAGAAGGGGGTATCAGGACAGCTCGCCTACCCTAGGGCAGCACCTCTCAGGCTGCAGAAGAAAGGGCAAGGCAGGGCCTCACAGTAGCAAAACCTTTTATTAAGTGCAGAACAGAGGCTGGGTCCCTATGCTGCTCCCAGCTCTTTGGTTACAAATAGGTTTGGGACCAGAGAGGAGGGACCTTGCCCACCTAATGCCTCCCAGAGGACACCTGGCACCTGCTCTGTGCATGCGGGTGGGCTGGGCGGGCCCCCAGGGGTACAAGGATGGAGTAGCTGAGGAGGCTCTGGGAGAGGAGCGGAGAGAAGGCCTGGATTCCAGGACATAGCGGGGGGGGGTGGGGCGGGGTCAGGTTTGGAAGAACTGTTGGTCCACCTGGCTGCTGAGGGTTCCACTGGTGGTCAGTGTCCGGCTCACAAACTCCTGGGTCACATGGTGGGTGAGGGAGCCACCTGCCTCCAGGTGCTGGGCCCCCAGGGTCAGCCCGTCTGTAGAGGAGGTTGCAGTGGCTGACCCGCCTGGGGTCTGCCCCTCTCCCTCTGCTAACTCCCTGTCCCAGCAGAGCCAGGACCCCTGGCCCTCAGTGCTCACCCATTAGGAAGGGCTCCATGGCGCTGGTGTGGGTGGTGGTGATGCTGCTGTACTCGCCTTGCAGCGGGTGCTGGAAGAGCCCGACGTGGCTGCCTAGCTGTGGGAAGGGGCCTGGGGTGGGCAGATCGGCCGGTCAGAAGGTGGTGCCAGGAAAAGGCATGGCCTGAGGATGCGTTGGAGGTGAAGGAAGGGACAGGTGCCCACCTCCGTCCTGGGACTCGATGGTGATGATGCCCTCACGCTCTGGCCCGAAGCCCTCGGTGGTCCTGGCCTGTACCTTGAACTTGTAGGGCACATTCTCACTGAGGCCCGGCACTGTCAGCCGGCTCTCAGGGCTGTCTCCGTCCACCCGGAATGTAGTGGCTGTCCCTGAACAGGGAAGATGCCTTCAGCCTCTACAGGCCCCTCTCTATCCCTGCCCTGGCCACCCCTGTCCCCAGGGGGGGCAGCACCTCCTCCTTGGGCCATCTCACAGGTCACCAGGTAGCCGACAATATCCCCATTGGGCCTCCGTGGCCGCTCCCAGCTCAGCTGCAGCGAGTCTGGGCTCAGGGCGGTGAATACCAGTGGGCCTGGGGCACTGGGGGTGCTCAAAGTGAAGGCAGAACCTGGGGGCAGCAGAGGAAGAACATCAGCATGTGGGTGGGTGGTGGGCATGATGGGGGCAGTGTGGGGCTGGGGGAGGCAACTCACCTGGCAGGGGACAGAGTGGGCTTTGCGGGTGCACCTGGGATTCAATGGTGATGACGCCCTCACGCTCTCGGCCCCAGCCCTCCTGGCTCTGGGCCCGCACGCGGAACACATAGGAGTGGTTGGGCAGGAGGTCTTCCACCACCACCGAAGTTTGGGCAGGGTTGGGGATGTTGAGCCGATGCACCTCGCCTGGGGGGTCATGTGGGGGCAGGTAGTAGTGCAGTGTTATTCTCACCCCTGGCCTGATCCCCCTCTTCCCTAAGCTGCCACGGAGACCTAGTTATCACCCACCCAGGACTGGCTGTGGTTTGGGTACAGGATGGGTACAGTATGGTACCGCTGGTTGTTCAGGTTGTGTACGATATAAGAGTGGAGCCTGGAATCCCACTCGTGTTTGGGCAAAATCCTGTGCCCGGTCATGCTGCTTTAAATGTGCCTGCCCAGGGAAGTGGCGCTTCCTCATTCCCCCAAAGACATCTCAGGCCAGCAGAGGCCCTAGGATCTCAGGCCAAAGTGGCCTTGTTAGGCAAACATAGCAGAGAATGACCGGGAGAGAGGCCCAGGGGGGTGGGTGAGACCTCAGAAGAGGGGTGGGGAATGGGGTGAGATCCTCTCAGGCTGGATGGGGCCTTTTAGAGCTCCAAGAACTTGGATGGGTTCTTGACACAGCCAAGATTCCCCATGTGTCACACTGGGGCCAGGCCTTGCAGGGCTGTGCCTCACCGCCATTCAGCAGCTGGTACTCCACGCTGTAGCCCTGCAGTGCATGCTCACACCGTGGCTCCTGCCAGCTCACTCTGAGAGATGTGGGCCCCAGGGCAGAGAACACCAGGCGGGTGGGTGTGTCGGGTACACCAGCAGTCGGGCGAGCATCTGGGGACAGGAGGCCACAGTCAGCCAGAGATGCAGGGGCTGGGGTCTCAGTGGGAGTCACAGTGCTGGCCCCGGCCTCCCTCCCTCGGCTGACATGTCTACACTGACCGCTGGCTGGACAACTCACTCACCCTGCAACACCCTGTCCAGGCTGCCCAGCACCTCCTGCACGTCCTCCAGAAGGGTATGGGCCCTCGTCTGTGCTGAGAGCGTGAGCCCTGTGTGTCTGCCAGCCACATCCCTCACCTCAGCTGGCCTGGCCCCTAGCCTGCCCAACCCCCAGCCCCAGCCCTGCCCCCTGGAAGGGCAGAGGCAGTGTTAGGCATCAGCACTGATGGTGGGGCAGGTGGTTAGCGCCTGTGAGCAGGCAGGTGTCCTGTGGATGGAATGGAGGGGAAGCGGTGGGCACAGCTGGTGGCTGGATGGCAGATGGAGCAGGACAGCAGTGGAGACAGAATGGCCACTCCTGTACTACCTGGGCCCCAGGAGGGCGCTGCTGGCTTCCCAGCCAGGATTATAGAATCTCGTGGGCCCCTGGAAGAGGGTAACCCTTTCATCTGAGCCAGACTCCGGGACCCCAGGGCCCAGGACAGCGGAAGCCTGCTCCTCCCGTATTCCCAGATGGGAGGGAGGCCTAGGGTGGGACAAAACAAGAGTGAGAGAAGCAGGGAGCATGCATGCATGTGTGCCTGTGTGTGTGCATGTCAGCATAGATGTGTGCGTGCATGCACACATGCGTGTGTGTGTGTGTGTGTGTGTGTGTGTGTGTGTGTGTTGGAGGATGGGCTGTGGGGACAGCAGCCCAAAGCCCGAGGCTCCGGGAGCTAGAAGAGAAGGATTAGTGGGAGAGGCAGGGTTGGCTGAGGTCACTCACCATGGGAGGAGACGGAGGTGAGGGTGGAGTAGTCCCTGGGCAGTGTGGCCGAGTGTGAGTGTTCCGAGCGGGTCAGTGAGTGGTAGTCCCGTGTGAGGGTGGAGGATGTGCTTAGCACACGGTGGGGCAGGTGTGGGCTTAGGTGGGTGCCATAGGCAGCACTGGACGTGGTCATCCTGTGCAGGGAGTTGGCACTGCCCGGGAAGGCAAAGTCCATCCGGCCATTCATCAGGTGTTCTGCGGGCAGAGAGCAGGGTCACTTGCTCAGGCCTAGTGGACACAGGCCCCGTGGGGCATTCCTGGTCACCCACCCTCTGGGTGGCTTTTGCTTAAATACAACCAGTTTCCCTCAAACCACTAGGGACAGAGGCCCTATGTACCTGGAGGAGCTCAAGGGCCACCCAGGCTTCCACAGCCCATGTCCTCTGGCGGCCACTATATGGGTGTGAGCACAGCTGACCCTGGTGGTGGCGGGGGATTTGCTGCCCCTGCAGTCAGCCCTGCCCTGGGGAGGTCCTGAAGCCTTCCCATCTGTCCTTTGAGGACCCTGAGGGGTCTACTTGGGCGCCAGAGTCTGCTCCCTGGACAGACTTCTGAATTTGCACCCCCTGGGCAGGCAGGCACCATAAGGGCCCAAGCGTCTGCCTCGGGCATCCCCTGGCACTGGGCCCTGCCTCTGAGCTGCTGTGCCCCCAGTGGCCAAGGCCCCAGCCTGGCTGAATCACCCGGGACCGCACAGACGCCCACCCCAGGCCCTCAGACCCGCCGGCGCTAGTGAGTCCGAGTGGGCGCGGATCAGGGCATGGCGGGTGAACCCTGTCACCTCCGAGGGGCCCCGGTGTCGCAACGCGGGGCAGGCTGCCGCCCTTCCCGCCCGCGCCGTCATCCGGGGGCCCGTAAGGCGCCTCGGCGTCGGAGGAGCGCCCGCTGCTGGCCGACAGGCGCGGGATGAGCTCCGGGGGCAGCCGCCACGTGATGCGACGCAGGTCCAGCTCCTCCCCCAGCAGAGGCTCGAACTTCCAGCCGCAGCCTTGGGAACAACGAAGGGCCGCGTTGGCACCGCCGGGGGGCGCCGGGCCGAGCAGGGCCAGGTGGGGGAAGGCCGGAGACGCTGCAAAGGGAGCCCGTCTCCGGCTCCCGGGATTCCTGGGTGAGTGATGGGGGCGGGGGTAGATGCGCACGGCCGGGCGGGCCACGAAGCCCCGCGGCAGGTGAGACCCTTGCACGGCGGGAGCCTTTCCAGATGAGCGAGTGTAGCCTTGGCATAGCTGGGGAGGAGAGACCCTTGGACCTGCCAGGAGACCTGGGGGAAGCCTAGGCTCCGTCACCAGTTGTGAGGTCTCCCTTGCGTTACTTAACCTCTCGGAGACTCAGTTTCCCGTCTGTACAATGGAGAGAGGAATCTCGCCCCTGCCTGCCTCCCAGTGACCGTTCTGCAGGCCACTCAGTGCTTCGAAGGTAGTGTTAGAAACAGCTGAGCTGGGGTTCAAGAGTCATACCAGCTGCGCTCCACCTGAGCCTCTCAAAACGGCTCCTTAAGCCCAAGCTCAGCTCCGTAGGGCCAGTATGTGTTCATGGGGTGGGGCAGGTGTGGAAGCATAGGCAGGGACGGGAGAAAATACAAATGACATACGTGCCTAAGAGGCTTTTCCATTCATGGTACTGTGTGATTGGTATCCCCTTATACAGATCAGAAAACTGATGCCCCGACACGCTAAGTGATTCATCTGATGTCCCAGAGTGGAGCCAGAGCTGAAACTGAGCACTCAGGAGCCCCAGCTAAGGGCTCTGTGGCACATTGTGCTGGGAATCAAGGAGGAAGGACAGAGCCAGTGGGGGCTGTTCTTGTCTCCTTGGCTCTCCCACCCCTGCCATGCAGCTGTATTATTATACAGTAATAAAAATACTGTATAAATGATTAAATAATGTAAGGCAAGGGAGACCTCACAGCTGGTGACTGTGAGGCTGCTCAGGGCTCCTGGGCCAGGCCTGCCCTGGGGGGTGGCCTGAGTTCCTGCGTCCATGGCACAGCTGGTGAACCTTCAAGTTTTAGAGACATGCACACCATCGCCTTTGTCCTAGACTGTCTTAACCTCCACGACCCCTGGTTGCCAGTCCCTTTGCTCTCTCTGGACCCAGTGGACTCACACTGTACCCCAGGCCCTCATTGTCTTCTTGTGGGTCCCAGGTCCACTCACCAGTGTCATCGGAGATGCTGGGCCTCTGGCTGCCGGATGGAGAGCGTAGAACGTCATCGCTGTACATGAGGAAGCTGTCGTAGTCCTCCCCGCTCTGGGCATCCACGATGGGGATGTCAGGGATGATGGGGACTGCAGGGCAGGGTAGTGAGCCAGGGCCCTGGCTGCTGCCCTCTGTCCCCCTACCCCGTCTGCCCCTCACCTCCTTGCCCACCACTCACTGGACATGGGCCGCTTGGGCTGGGTGGCCAGGTTGATGATGGCCTCCCGCTCGGGCCCCCAGCCCGCCCCATTGCGTGCCTTCACCGTGTAGCGGTAGGGCTGGGACTCCCGCAGGTTCTCGATGAGCAGCATCCGGTTCTTAGGATTGTCAACTAGCACCTTCTTCATGGGTCCAATGGGTCCTGGGGCAGGGAGAGTGCTTCAGAGGGTCACCCAGGTTCCAGCCTGGTCCCAGTACCATCCCAGACACAGTGGGACCGCTGTGCCTCCCCTAGATGGCACCCAGAGGCTGGGGAGCAAGGCACAGTGAGCCACTGCTGAACTGCCGCCTGCAGAGCCCTGAGAGTCAGCATGACTGGTGTAGACACGTGTCAGCAGTCCTCCAAGGGACTCTGCTGAGTAAGTGGCAGAGCCAGGGATGGACCCAAGTTGGCTCCAATGTCCACCCCTCCTGATATGTCCACAGTGCCTCCACACGAGGTGAGGGCATGCAAAGGGGGTCACCCACCCCTGCCTCCCTTCCAGGACTGGCAAAATAACTGTTCTGCTGGGCACTCTGATCTTGGGCTACCAGATAAAATACTGTATGAAATAATACTTTTTTTTTTTTTTTTTTTGAGTTGGAGTCTGGCTCTGTCACCCAAGCTGGAGTATAGTGGCACGATCCTGGCTCACTACAGCCTCCACCTCTCAGGTTCAAGCGATTCTCCCGCCTCAGCCTCTTGAATAGCTGGAACTACAGGCATGAGCCACCATGCCTGGCTAATTTTTTTATCTTTATACTTTTAATATTTTTCTTTCTTTCTTTCTTTTTTTTATATTTTTATATTTTTAAACTTTTTTTTTGAGATGGAGTCGGGCTCTGTCACCCAGGCTGGAGTGTAGTGGCATGATCTTGGCTCACCACAGCCTCTGCCTCCCAGATTCAAGCGATTCTCCTGCCTCAGCCTCCCAAGTAGCTGGGATTACAGGCATGTGCCACCACATCTGGCTAATTTTTGGATTTTTAGTAGAGATGGGGTTTTGCCATGTTGGTCAGGCTGCTCTCAAACTCCCAACCACAGATGATCCACCCGCCTTGGCCTGCCAAAGTGCTGGGATTACAGGCGTGAGCCATTATGCCCTGGCCAGAATTTTTTCTTTGAGACAGAGTTTTGTTCTTGTTGCCCAGGCTGGAGTGCAATGGCATGACCTCAGCTCACCTCCACCTCTGCCTCCCAGGTTCAGGTGATTCTCTTGCCTCAGCCTCCTGAGTAGCTGGGATTACAGGCATATGCCAGCACACCTGGCTGATTTTATATTTTTAGTAGAAATGAAGTATCCTCCATGTTGGTCAGGCTGGTCCCCAAATCTTTTAAAGTGCTATCTGAAATTCACAGCCTCCTGTATTTCTGTTTGCTAAATCTGGTAACTCCTCTTGCCCCAGGAAAATCATGCAAGTGTGAGCTCCCTGGTTACCTGCTTGGGCAGGGGTGCCCCTGGGCCTGTGATCCCACTCTGCATAGGTAACCACCCACCCTGCAGGCTTCTGGGTTTGGCCTTAGAATTCCAGCCCAAATCTAGCTAAACCGCTAAGGATGCCTCAGGCTTATCCGCTGACCAGGATGAAGGACTTGAGTGCCCTGCACAGCAGGTCCAGGGAGTGACTCGAAGCTCCCTCCAGCTTGGCCCCTCCCCTTCCACAGCTGTTGTCCCCGTGGGGAGGATCTGGTTCTTACGGTTGTCCTCGTTGACCAGGCCGTAGCAGACCTCGTAGGCCGTGATCTCACCGTTGGTCTCAGCCGGCTCAGCCCAGCTCAGCTGGGTCACCGTGGAGGAGACGACATTGAAGGCCAGACGCCCTGGCTCACTGGGCACTGGGGATCGGGGGATACAGAAAGGTGCTGTCAGTGGCAGAGGGAGGGAGTGCACATTAGCCAGGGGACAAATAGACAGACATGGCGAGGACTCACCTTCCTGGTGGGTGCGGCAGGACACTGGGGAGCTGTAGGGTCCCTCGCCTTGAGCCCCGTAGGCACACACCTTCATCTCATAGTCGCAATATGGGTACAGGTTGGTGAGCTCTACTGAGGGCACCTTGCTGTCGAGCAGGTGGGCTTCGGACTCGGAGTCACCCTGAATCCAGTACTTTACCTACCCCCACCACAGGGACAGGGTCCTGTTCAGGGGGAAGCAGCAGGCACCCACACTGCCTGTCCCTCCAATGACCTCTGCCTTACTCTCCTCTTTGCACAGATGAGAGACACTGAGGCCTGAGGGAGGGGCTGAGAGATCTGCCATGTGCACGCATCAGGACTGGGGCAGAGTGGGGGGATCTCCCACTTCGGGGAGGGAGGAGGTCCCATTTCAAGGAAGGAGGGCAAATGTCTGATGAACTCAGGAATGGGTCTTCCCTCTTTCCCAGCACAGACTAGGTTTCCCGTTGACCACTTGTGCTAGGGTCCACTGTCACCGCTCTCTCAGGGGACCCTGGCCTCCGACGGCCCACCTCTCCCAGAGTGCTGATGCCAGACCGCCCATCCACCTGTCATGGCCTTCAGCCCCCCACCTTACCCTGTACCCCGTTGGCTTGCCAGAAGGGGGCAGCCAGTTGAAATGGATCTTCCTGGACCCAGCGGCCTTAGCATTGGGGTTCTGCGGTGCGCCCAGGTTGCCGTGAGGAGGTGGCTGTGATGACATCTGACTCGTGAAGCTCCTGTCCACTTCATCTAATGGGTCAAGTTGGGGCAGGGCAGCCAGTTCAGACCCCACTTTGCCACCAGGGGGCGTCAGAGACCCACTTAAACACCCAGGGCTCCCTGCCCAGCGCATTCAACTCAGACCTGCCCACCCACGTCTCCAGGGACATGGTACCCCATTGCTGCCACATAGGGCATCCTGTCAAGCTTGGCAGAGGGCCCAGGAGGATCTCTGGAGAAACAGAAGGAGGAGGGAATTGGTTTGCCCCTTTCTCCCTTGGCAGCTCAGGGAACATTCCATATGGGAACATTTGCTCCCCACCCCATCTCCACACTGTACTACACACTGAGTATTTCCCTCCTTTCCCATCTTCCCAACAGGCCTTCTCCCAGCAGGGAGGCTGAAGGCTGAGAGGAACTAACTGGCCCACCCCTTCCAGGAGCACTTTCATCTTAGAACAGAGGCCAAAGCCAAAGGGCTGGAGTCGGATGGGAGAATTCCTATTGTGTAGTGACAACATGATCTCAGGCTCTCTGGCTATAGGGTTGCCAGATGAAATTCAGGATGCCTGGTTACATTTGAATTTCAGATAAACAGCAAGATTTTTTTTTTTTGAGACAGTCTTGTTCTGTCGCCAGGATGGAGTGCAGTGGCATGATCTCAGCTCACTGCAACCTCTGCCTCCTGGGTTCAAGCAATTCTCCTGCTTCAGCCTCCCAAGCAGCTGGGACTACAGGTGCACAACACTATGCCCAGCCAATTTTTGTATTTTTAGTAGAGATGGGATTTCACCATGTTGGCCAGGATGGTCTCGATCTCTTGACCTCGTGATTTGCCTCCCAAAGTGCTGGGATTACAGGTGTGAGCCACCGTGCCCAGCCAAGATAAACAGCAAGCTTTTTTTGTGTGTGTGGAGCGGGGGGGACACAGTCTCATTTCATGGCCCAGGTGCTGTGCAATGGTGTGATCACAGCTCGATACAGCCCAGATCTCCTGAGTTCAAGTGATCCTCCCACTTCAGCCTCCTGAGTAGCTGGGCCCCCAGGTGCACACCATTATGCCAAGCTAATTTGTTTATTTTTTATAGACATGAGGTCACGCTGTGTTGTCCAGGCTGGTCTAGAACTCCTGGGCTCAAGTGATCCTCCCACTTTGGCCTCCCAAGGTGCTGGGATTATAGGTGTGAGCCAGTGCACCCAGCCCCTCTTGTTAAAAAAAAAAAAGGATAAGTATGTTCCAAATATTGCATGGGACATACCTATCCTACCAATGTGTATGTTGATCTGAAATTCAGATTTACCTGGTGTCCTGTGTTTGGATTTACTAAGTCTGGCAGCCCTAGTTGAGAGACGCCCCACCCCACCCCACCGTGTTTTCCCACTCCCCCTGCTTAAGCCAATCACAGGCTCTGCCCACCTGGGTCTCTGATGATGATGGTGGTAGAGTGGTGCTGGCCCAGGTGGGCCCCGAACTTAGGGTTGCTGAGCTGGACATGGAAACGGCGAGCCTGGCGGCCCCGCAGGAGGGAGTCAACCTCCTGCAGCTCCAGGAGCTTCACCTGCAGCTCTTTCCAGGCCTCCCCGGGCTGGAACAGCAGCTCGCCCTCCACGGGGATGTAGTCCTGGGAGTGGAGGGGGTCAGGGTCAGGGTCATGGCTGGGGGATGAGACAAGAATCATGGCCACACGCTCCCTCCCAACCTCACGGACACGGCAGAAACCATCCCTGCTTGCTGAGTGGAGTACTTACGTCAGTTTCAGGTGTGTGTGTGATTGAGGCAGTCTCACTCTGTCACCTAGGCTGAGGTGCAGTGGCATGATCTTGACTCACTGCAACCTCCACCTCCTGGGTTCAAGCAATTCTCAAACCTCAGTCTCCTGAGTAGTTGGGATTACAGGTGCCTGCCACCTCTCCCACCTAATTTTTGGGTTTTAGTAGAGATGGGGTTTTACCATGTGGGCCAGGCTGGTCTTGAACTCCTGAGTTCAAGTGATCCACCTCAGCCTCCTTAAAGTGCTGGGATTACAGGCGTGAGCCACCACGTCCAGCCATGTTTTTGTACGTTTTTTTTTTTTTTTTTTTTTTGAGACAGAGTCTTACTCTGTCACCCAGGCTGGAGTGCAGGGGCATGATCACGGCTTACTGAAGGCTTGACTTCCTGGGCTCAGGCCATCCTCTCCCTCAGCCTCCTGAGTATCTGGGACTACCGGTGTGCACCACACCTGGCCAGTTTTTTTGGTGTGTTGTAGACAGGGTCATCCTATGTTGCCTAGGCTGGTCTTGAACTACTGGCCTCAAGCAATGCCTCCCAAAGTGCTGGGATTACAGGCATGAGCCACTGAGCTTCATTATTTTATTTTATTTTTTTAAGACGGGGTTTCACCAGGTTGGTGAGGCTGGTCTTGAACTCCCGACCTCAGGTGATCTGCCCGCCTTGGTCTCCAGAGTGCCTGGATTACAGGCGTGAGCCACCACGCTGCCGGCCCAGCTTCATTTCAATGCTATGGAGCTTGCCTGAGCTTTTCAGGATGAAAACAAGGAGAAAAAAAAAAAAAAAAAAAAAAAAAATCCTTCCCATAGAAGACCACTAGGTGGCGCTTCGAGGCAAGATTTCAATTCCAGGCGCTGCAGCCAGGGCCTTGGCTGAGGAGGCAACCTCATGCCACTCAATTCAGAAAGTGAGGCCCATAGTTGTAAAAAACAAAACAAAACAAAAAACCAGGAAGCTGCCTGCAAGCAACTTACATGGATACTTCAAAAATGTCAGTGTCACCGGGTGTGGTGGCTCACGCCTGTAATCCAAGCACTTTGGAGGCCAAGGCAGGCGGATCACCTGAGGTTGGGAGTTCAAGACCAGCCTGACCAACATGGTAAAACCCCGTCTTTAAAGAAAAAAAAAACAGTCAGTGCCATTAGCCAGGCATGGTGGCTGGTGCCTGTAATCCCAGCTACTCAAGAGGCTAAGGCAGGAGAATCGCTTGAACCCGGGAGGTGGAGGTTGCAGTGAGTCGAAATCACACCACTACACTCCAGCCTGGGCAACAGAGCAAGACCCTGTCTTAAAAAAAAGTCAGTGTCGTAGAAGACAATGCCAGGAAACTCTTCTAGATTAACGGAGACAAGACACGTGACAAAATTCAATGCCACGTCCTTGATTGGGAGAAAATAAAGCTATAAAGGACACTATTGGGATATCCGAACATGGGGACATTGGAGTGTGTACTCATTTTATTTTATATATTTTTGAGATGGTGTTTCAGTCTTTCGCCGAGACTGAAGTGGCACAATGTCAGCTCACTGCAAACTCTACCTCCAGTTCAAATGATCCTCCTGCCTCAGTCTCCCTAGTAGCTGGGATTACAGGCACCCACCACCATGCCTGGCTAATTTTTGTATTTTTAGTAGAGATGGGGTTTTGCCATTGGCCAGGCTGGTGTCAAACTCCTGACCTCAGGTGATCCACCTGTCTCATCCTCCCAAAGTGTTGGGATTACAGGTGTGAACCACCAATCCTGGCCAGAATATGAACTAATTTTTGGTACTAGTATAATCAATGTGAAGATACAGACATCCACATGTATATCTATATGTGTATGTCACTATCTATATTAGAAAGAAAGAGCCCAGCTAGGTGCGGTGGCTCACGCCTGTAATCCCAGCACGTTGGGAGGCTGAGTCGGGCGGATCATAAGTTCAGGAGATTGAGATCATCCTGGCCAATGATGAAACCCCATCTCTACTAAAAATACAAAAAATTAGCTGGGTGTGGTGGCAAGTGCCTGTAGTCCCAGCTACTTGGGAGGCTGAGGCAGGAGAATCACTTGAACCCAGGAGGTGGAGGTTGTAGTGAGCTGAGATCGTGCCACTACACTCCAGCCTGAGTGACAAGAGCAAGAATCTGTCTCAAAAAAGAGAGAGAGAGAGAGAGAGAGAGAGAAAGCAGATATTAGCAATCAGTGAATCTATGTAAGGGAAAATGGGTGCTAGTTGTATTGTTCTTTCAATATTTCTGTATGTTTGAAGTTTTTCAAAATAAAAAGGTGAGAAATTAAAATGTTTTTTAAAAATCAAGGTTTTTTTTTTTTTTTTTTTGAGGTCAGGGAGTTCGAGACCAGCTTGGCCAATATGGTGAAAACTGTCTCTACTAAACTACTTGTTCCAGCTACTTGGGAGGCTGAGGTTGAAGGACTGCTTGAGCTCAGGAGTTCAAGACTGCAGTGAGTCAGGACTGTGCCACTGCCCTCCACCTGGGGCTAGAGGGAGACCTTGTCTCTTAAAAAATTATTCTTTGGAATTTTTTTTTGTTTTTAAGAGAGTGGATGTGTACTTCTTTGGAATTTTTATGGGGACACGTTGGAAAAACAATGAGAACAGTTCCTATCAATGAAAAGAAGTAAATAAAAATAGGATGTGGCCAGGCAGCCCAGGCCTGCTGACTCCACGCTCCCCTGTGTTTGCCGAATGGGCCTGTGGGCTCAGGGAGGCAAGACTTTATTACTTTTGAGATAATTTTCTCTTTTTTTTGTTTTGAGACAGTGTTGCTCTTGTTGTACAGGCTGGAGTGCAGTGTTGCGATCCTGGCTCACTGCAACCTCTGCCTCCTGGGTTCAAGTGATTCTCTTGCCTCAGCCTCCCAAGTAGCTGAGATTACAGGCATGCACCACCACACCCGGCTAATTTTTTTGTATTTAGTAGAGATGGGGTTTCACCGTGTTGGTCAGACTGATCTGGAACTCCTGACTTCAGGTGATCCACCCACCTCGGCCTCCCAAAGTGCTGGGATTATAGGTGTGTGCCACAATGCCCGGCCTCTTTTTTCTTTTTTTGAGATGGAGTCTCGCTCTGTCACCCAGGTTCAAGCAATTCTCCTGCCTCAGCCTCCCGAGTAGCTGGGATTACAGGCATGTGCCACCAGGTGTGGCTAATTTTGTATTTTTAGTAGAGACGTGGTTTCTCCATGTTGGTCAGGCTGGTCTCGAACACCTGACCTCAGGTGATCCACCCGCCTCAACCTCCCAAAGCACTGGGACACAGGCATGAGCCACTATGCCAGGCCTTTTTTCTTTCTTTCTTTCTTTTTTTTTTTTTTAATAGAGACAGGGTCTCACTATATTGCCTAAACTGGACTCCAACTCCTGGGCTCAAGTGATCCTCCCACTGTGGCCTCCCACAGTTGGGATTACAGACATGAGCTACTGCATTAAGCCAGGTTTTGTGTGTGTGTTTTTTGTTTAATTTTTAAAAATTATTTTATTTTTTTTGAGACAGTTTCTCACTGCATTGCCCAGGCTGAAGTGCAGTGGCGTGAACATGGTTCACTGCAGCCTCAACCTCCTGGCCTCAGGTGATTCTCCTGCCTCAGCCTCCCAAGTAGCTGGGTCCACAAGTGTGCACTACAGTGCCTGGCTAATGCCTAAATCATTTGTATAGACAGGGTCTCACTACATTGTCAAGGTGGTCTCCAACCCCTGGGTTCAAGTGATTCTCCCACCTCAGCCTCCCAGCCTGCTGGGATGACAGGTGTGGCCACCATGCCCGGCCTTTTTTAATTGTGGATTTGTTGCCAATATTTAAAACCTAGAAAGGCCAGGCGAGGTGGCTCACATCTGTAATCCCAGCACTCTGAGAAACTGATGTGGGTGGATCACTTGAGATCAGAAGTTTAAGACCAGCCTGGCCAACATGGCAAAACCCCGTTTCTACTAAAAATACAAAAATTAGGCCGAGCACAGTGACTCGCCCCTGTAATCCCAGCACTTTGGGAGGCCAAGGTCGGCGGATCACTTGAGGTCAGGAGTTCAAGACCAGCTTGGGCAACATAGTGAGACCCTGTGTCCCTAAAAAATGAAGAAGCAAAAAATCCCCACATGAAACAAACAAAAGAAGCAAAATTATAAAGCCTGTAAACCCAATCCTGCCTGCCTGCCACCTGGATTTGGCTGCCCCCCCCAGCACTGGGGCTCTGTGGTGAAGGTGACACTGGCCCAGCCATGGCACTCCCTGCCTCGAAGAACGCTCCTGCTGCTTGGCCAGGAGAGGGAAACCAGGACAGCCTTTGGGGAGTCTGACCTGGGGACATGGGTCTTCGATCCCAGCTCAAGAAGCCCAAAGCCTACAGGGCTGTGGCATACAGGGGAGTTTGTTTCTCTCCTGAGGTTTGGCTGCCCTGTGGATCCTGGGTTGTTGGAGGGGACAGAAATGGTCTCGGCAGGTCCCTGGCCCATGAAGGAGGAAAGAGCCCTCTTGGCCTGAGTCCTTGGCAGCAAGGGAGCCTCACCCAGGGTGTTACCAGCACTTTGGGTGGGTGAGACTCCCCTGCTACAGGGTGGCAGCAGCAGGCGGACGTGTCCTTGGGAGGCCAGCCGGGGCACCACCAGCATCCAGGGACTCAAGTAGCTTCCATGTGCTGCTTTGTCCTGGGAACCCAATGCAGTACCCACGCAGCCCCTCAGGTTGTACCCTCAACCCTGTGGCAGAGCCTCACCCGGTTGCCCTGCGCAGTGCCATCCTGGGTGCGGTAGGAGACCTGGGATTTGCCACTATCCAGGACACGCCGGATGACAGGAATGCGGGCCACCTGCTCCCCACGGCTGACCAAGTACTCCGGCTGCTCAAAGGACACCACCCCACTGGCTGCAAGGACCAAGGACCGGTCAGAGCGTGCCAGACCTAGTCCTTTCCCACCTCCTGCTCTCCCATGGCCCAGCCCAGCCCAGAATCCAGGAGTCCACTTGGTTCCCTCTAGGCATTGCCCTCTGGGAAGGGCACAGGAGTGGGACAGAAAATCCTTCCAGAAAAGGGTGAGGGGCCGGGCGTGGTGGCTCACGCCTGTAATCCCAGCACTTTGGGAGGCCGAGGCAGGCGGATCACCTGAGGTCAGGAGTTTGAGACCAACCTGGCCAACATGGGGAAACTCCGTCTCTACTAGAGCTGCAAAAATTAGTCGGGCATGGTGGCGCACGCCTGTAATCCCAACTACTCAGGAGGCTGAGGCAGGAGAATCGCTTCAACCTGGGAGGCAGCAGTTGCAGTGAGCCAAGATCACACCATTGCACTCCAGCCTGGGTGACAGCGAGATTTCATCTCAAGAAAAAAAAAAAAGTAAAGCTGGAACAAAGTGTCCTGCAGACATCCTGGAAGGGCCAGGGCAGAGGAAGGTCAGGCAGGGGCAGGACCAGAGACTGAGCTCTCAGCCCTGGGCCTGGAGCTGAGCAGGAAGAGGCCTGAGGCCTATGGCTTCAGGCGCAGGTAGGGAGGAGGGGTCAGATGTCCACGGAAAGATGCCTTGGCCCACCCCTCCTCTAGAGCGAGAGGAACAAGGGGCTGACCCCTTATGATGAAGCTAATAGAAGCTTCCATTTAATGAGCATTCACCACCAGGCACTGTGCCAAGATGAACAGCCACAGATTCTGTAAAAGAGCCCTTACCCATTTTACAGATGGAGAAACCAAGGCTTGCAGAGGTTAAGTGACTGGCCCAGGCCACGTGGCCAGGCCGCACTTCCACTTGAGCAGGAGTAACCCGTGCCCCCAAGCCACCGTCTGCCTCCCCCACTCTCCCTACCCTGACCCACCTTGCTCCTTGATGATGGTGATGTTTACCAGGCGGCGGCCGAGGGTGGCAGTGCCTGCGGGGATGTCAATGGCCTCCACCAGCAGCTGCTTCTCATCGTCGTCCTCAGGCCGGATGAAGAGGGGCACCCGCACGTCCACCAGCTCCACCCCCTCCTGGAACTCCACCATGCCCCGGGCGTCTGGGTGGCGGTTGGGAGGTGGTCAGATGTGGGTCATGGGGCCACATGAGTGGGAGGTACGAGGGGGTGGCACAAGGGACCCGTCCTCCTACCCTGGTCTGCAGTGAGGGTGTAGTAGCCAGGGGCCACCTTGAGCTCGTGGAAAGCCCTCTGTTCCACCTGCTTCTCCGTAAGCTTCAGAAGCGCCGGCTTGGCCGAGCGGGGTGCCATCAGCACTGTGTCCACAATGGTGTGGTCTTGCCTGGGCCGAGGGTGGAGGGTTCAGGCAGGGGAGGGGTCAGGCTGGCACCCGTTGTCCCTATGCCTCCTGCCTGTCTGTCCTCTCCCCTTTGGGGGCCAGGATATAAGTCAACAAGAAATGCAGGGTCTTCAGAGGCAGGCAGTGCTCCAGGCCCATGCCAGGCCCACGCCCCTTACCCTGCAGTCTCAGCCCAGCCATGGTGCCTCCCTGAGCCTCAGCGTCCTCCTCCATCAAGTGGGTTTCCCTGCCCACCTCCTCAAGAGCTGGACAGCAAAGATGCTAAGGGTGTGAGTGCTCAAGCCAGGCTGCTGCAGCCCCAGCCCTGGCTCTAATTCTCAACAGCTGAGTAACCTTGGGCAACTCACTTAACCCTTTTGAGCCTCAGCTTCCTAATCTATAAAATGGGAACAGCAGTGATATCTACCTCCCAGGCTTGAGGAGAGGGCTGAATAAGATAACCACACCAAAAGCCCTCAGGACGATGCCTGGCCTCTAGCAGGCCCGCAGAAATGCTGGTCAGCCATTCTTTTTATTAATTTTTTGAGATGGAGTCTCGCTCTGTCACTCAGCCTGAAGTGCAGTGATGCAATCTCAGCTCACTGCAACCTCTGCCTCCTGGATTCAAACAATTCTCCTACCTCAGCCTCCCATGTTCCTGGGATTACAGGTGCTTGCCACCACACCCAGATAATTTTTGTATTTTTAGTAGAGATGGGGTTTCACCATGTTGTCCTGGCTGGTCTTGAACTCCTGACCTCAGGTGATCCTCCCGCCTCGGCCTCCCAAAGTGCTGGGATTACAGGCGAGAGCCACCACGCCCGGCAGACTGTTCTTACTGATGGCCACGTGCTGTTATTCTAGCTCTGCTGTTTCTGCATCGAGACCCCCTCCTCACTCCCTTGCTCTCCCCTGAAGGGCCAGGACTTGGAGTAGGACCTGAGGAAAGAGGAGTGTGACCTGCTGGCCCATCCTCATGGTAAGCTGCCTGGCCCCCAGAGGTGCACCCAGGATCAGGGTCTTGGACCCTGGAGCAGATGGAGCTGGGCACCTGCTATATCGCTGGTGCTGGGTGGGGGACTGGGCTGATTCGCTTTTGCCCAGGGCTCTTGCTACTGCATAGCAAGCCCTTTTCATTAGCATTTGTTGAAGAAATGATCCAAGGAACAAATGAAGGTCTGAACCCATGACAGACACATCTGCCCCTCCCTTCCTATGGGATGGAGTTGGAGCAGGGACAGAGGATGCAGGTGGCTGGGCTGGGAACAGGCGGGCAGGACGTGGGGGCTGTCTCACTGAGTCTTCTACTCACTTTTTCCCGGCATTGGGCTGCTGTCTGTGGGAACAAATAGAACGCTGTGAGCCAGACAGCCCTGAAGTGGAGGCTGGATCTACCTGGGGGCTTCAGCTCCTGGAGTCGGTGGTTGGAGCGGCTCCCACACCCAACCCAGGTGCCCCAGGACTCACCGGAACTTGGTCTGCTGGAGCTTGTGAACACCAGAGATCTGTCTGTACACCTCGTTCAGCTGCCAGGCAAGGGAGGGGCGTGAGGCTGGGCCTAGGTGACCCCATGGCAAGCCCTCAGGCTGGGGTCCTGGGGAGCCTGGCAGGCTCTCTACCCAGAGGCCCTCAAGGTTAGCTGGGGCATGCCCCTCAGGGCCTCCTGCCCTCTGGAAACAGATCCCAGAATGCCCCCACCAGGCACAGGTCCAGAGAAGCCCCTTTCTAGAGAACAAATCTTGGTGCCACAGCTGCATTCGCTCTGCCCTGCCCACTCACCACCACCCACCCTCGAGCCCACACTGCCAGCCAGGCTTAGCTCCTGGGTCCTTACGTTCTCCTCCACCTCCTGACGAAGCTGGGTGCACTCTCGAGTGTCGGGCTTCAGCAGGTTCTCGGTGCAGAGGCGGGCCAGGCGCAACGACAGCCCATAGGGCACTAGAGGCAGGCAGTGGGAGGCAGTGAGACAGATGTGGTCAGCCCCCCAAATAACAGGCACCATAGAGCGTCCCTCCAGCAACCATGCTAGGATCAGGGCACGCCTGGCCAGCAGGCCATGCATGCAGAGGCATGGGGTTCATAGCGCCATCAGGATGGGGCAAAAGGTGGCTGAGCCCTGTGCCTGCACCCCACACCCAGAGAAGAGGCTTGCTGTGATCCCAGATCTGGAACAGAGGGCCCCAGGGGCACTGTCCAGAGCTGTGGCATCCAGCCCCGCCCTCACCCAGCTCCGTGGGGTTGATGCTGGCGGCATGAGTGGCAAAGCCAGGACGCTGCACGTTGTTGGTGACCTTCCAGCGGACCACGTCACGGCCCTTGAGGTTCCCACTGCGCAGCATGGGCGTGTCCAGGTGGTCCGAGGCCATCAGGTTCTGCCGCAGCATGTAGTGGTCTTCCTTGAAGCCCACCATGTGACCTGCAGGACGGGGTCCTCAGCATGGCACCCCTCCCTAGACCCACACAGCTCAACCTCATCAGGTGGGACCCCAGAGCCTCCAGCCTCTGCCGTTCCAGGCTCCGTCCCCGCTTCCCTCCACCCCAGCTCAGAAAAAGAGCAGTCAGAGCCCCCGCTGTCCATATGATGCCAGGCCCATACCTCGGTTGCAGCAAGGGAGAAGTGCCAGGCAGGCCTAGGAGACAAGGTGGGTGAGGGTGAGGCCAAAGACAGCTGCCCTGGCCCAGGTAAGCCCTTTCAGCCACCCACCCCATGCCAATAGTCCAGAGGGGTGACACTGCCTCCCCAGACACCAGAATATCCAGGTGGTGGCAGGGGTAAGCATGGCACACAGGGGCATAGAGGATGATGGGGGCAGAGGGCTCCCAAAATTTGTGCCATGGAACCCTCATCCTGCCAGGTGCTCGGGACAGGTTCTGTGGTCAGATTCACTTGGGACGCACTGAATGCATTCCCTCTGCCCCTCTTGCAGGTTCATTAGCCACAAGACTATATCAAAGGCTCTGAAAAGTCCTGCAGAAAAGAATTTTTTTTTTTTTGAGACGGAGTTTCACTCTGTTGCCCAGGCTGGAGTGCAGTGGCACAATTTCGGCTCACTGCAACCTCTGCCTCCCAGGTTCAAGTGATTCTCCTGCCTCAACCCCCTGAGTAACTGGGAATACAGGCACCTGCCTCTACGCCCAGCTAATTTTGTATTTCTAGTAGAGATGGGGTTTCACCATATTAGCCAGGCCAGTCTGGTCTGGAACTCCTGACCTCAAGTGATTCACCGGCCTTGGGCTCCCAAAGTACTAGGATTACATGCGTGAGCTACCGCGCCTGGCCAGAAACTTGTTTCTTAAACCTTTTTTTTTTTTTTTCTTTTTGAGACGAGTCCCACTTAGTCACCCAGGCTGGAGTGCAGTATGTAATAAAATAGTTCACTGTAGCCTCAAACTCCCAGGCTCAAGCGATCCTCCTGCCTCAGCTTTCCAAGAAGCTGAGACGACAGCACACGCACCTGTGCCTGGCTCAAACCTATTTGATCACGTAACTCCTTTTCTATGTAATGCACGTTAATATCCCACAATACTGGGGGTTACTACAGAGTGTGGTCTCTGCTGCCTACAGCCCCCACCCTGAGCCATGCCATCCTCCACACTCCTCTCTCCTGTCGTTCTCCCCAACGACCGCCAGCTTCTGGCAGGCAGGGCCCTTCCTTCCCTGTTGTGGCTCTAGGCCCTTTGCACGTGGCTGATCCCAGAGCAGGTGCTCTCAGGGATCTGGCCACTGATGGCTGATGGAGCGGAGGTCCTGGGCGGGCGCTAGAGCTGGGGCAGATGTGGGCTCAGCTTGACTCAGCTCCTTCCGAGGACCATGCATTTATCACCTGCCTCTAGCCCCAATTTCTCCGTCTGCCATAGGGCATAGTGACCTTGGCCCACTGACCTCATGGGGTGGTGGGGGAAGGGGAAATGGAGTCATTGGACATGCTGTCATGACAGCATAATCAGAAACACTGAGCTGAGCCGAGGGGACGTTGGCAAGGGCTGCGCTGGGGGCTGGGGCTCCAGGATGACTAGGGCTGGTAGCTCATGGGCGTTATCGTCATTACTGTCACGGGAAGCTGGATGGGGTTGCTGGGGTTCTAGCCAAGGCAGGAGGGGCGATGGTTCGTGCTATGGGTCAGCCCCTTCTGAGAACTTTACTTCACTGATTTAAGCTTCAGCTCCACTTTCTGAGGTCAATTCTATGATCTTCATTTTATAGATGAGGGAACTGAGGCATGGAGAGACTAAGTAATTGCCCAGGGTCACACAGCTGGGACCAGAATCCAGACAGCTGGGCTCCATGGGCCTCTGGGTAGAAAGCTGCTGGAGTGGGGATGGTGGGTGGGCTGTTCCAGGAACCATGGGGAGGGCGGGACCCTGGGGAGGTGGGGACCCTGTTGGGGTGAGGACGCTGCGGAGGTGGGGACCCTGGTGGAGGGTGGGGGTCCTGTTGGGGTGAGGACCCTGTGGAGGTGGGGACCCTAGTGGGGGTTGGCAACCCTGGTGGAGGGTGGGGCCCTGTTGGGGTTGGGACCCAGGCAGGGGTGGGCTCTCACCTTGCAGCAGGCGCAGTACTTCCAGCAGAGCAGTAGCAGCAGGGCCAGGAGTGGCAGGAGGAGGAGGAGCAGGGGGATGAGCCACCAGAAGGAGCCAGGAGGGCAGTCTGGGGAGGAGAGGAGGCAGGGGAGGTGGTGCCTGTCCTCCCCACTGTGCTTTGGCAACAAGCCCCTCCCTGCGCCTGGACTACCAGCTCACCCTTCTTCCGATGCACCAGGACAGTGCTGTTGGGCCCGGGGGCACCATCGCCTTCCATGGTGTAGCTGTAGGTGCAGTCGTCATCCTCGTCCCGGAAGGAGCAGCGCACCACCACCTCCTCCGCTGTACCCACAGCCAGTCAGCAGGGTACCCAACCACACCCCTCCACCCCAGAGGACCCCAGGGTCTGGTGAGGGGGCCCTACTCTGGGACCCGCCTCACCCACTTCAGGGCCTCCGGGGGAAGAGTGGAAGTCCTGGCAAAGCTGTGCTCTCACCTGGCACAGGGACGGGTGAGGCAGTGCCTCCTGTGCTCAGGAGCGTCAGAGCCTAGAAACCTACCTCCCCCACCTCCCCGACCTGGACATCGCCCAGGAACTCGGTGTCCAGAAAACGTATCTGACCTCGAGGAGGGGAGGCTGCATGTCCCCACAGCCCGACCATGTACCCCTGCTGCGTTCATGCCCCTGCCCACTAAGGTGCCTCCCATAAGACTCCCTGGGCCAGACTGTGTCCCACCACCTGGGTTCTGTGCCTCCTGCCCAGGCTTTTACCCTCTTCTGGGACTCAGTGTCCTCTATCTGGGTTCTGTGGTCCTTCCCAGCTCCAGAGTGCCTGTCTGGATTGTGTGGCCTTAGCCCAGACTGCAAGACCATGCCCAGATGAGGACACCCCTGCCCTGTTGGATGACCCCTGCCAAGACTCTCAGCATCCCCAGCCCTCAGCCCTGCCCCTACCTCTCTTAAGCTCATCCACCATTTTGACCTTGAAGCTGCATTCCTCACACGTGTGCCCCTTCTTCTCCCCGGTGCCCCAGGCCTGGCACTGCACGCAGGAGCGTAGGTCCTCACAGAGACCCGGGTGGATCTTGGTGGGGAAAGGCGGGGCAGACAGACACTGTGTTGGAGCTCTGCCAGACCTAGGCTTCCCAAACCTCTTGCCCTTGGCCAGATTCTGTGGCATCAGGCTCAGCCCCTCCTCCCCACCCTGCCCTGTGCCTGGGGTTCCCACACCCACACCCCATAGGTCCCAGCCTCACCGCCGAGTAGTTGATCTCGCAGATGGTGTCCGTGTAGAGCGACTGCTGGTTGCAGTGGCAGCGGCCACACTCACAGTGGCCACGTCCATTACAGATGCCCTGGGGTAGCAGGGGGCATCAGTGAGCCAGCCGTGCCCCATCCCTGCCTGCTCCCCTCTCCTCTCTCCACAGGGTTCTCTCTAGAGAGCATGGGTGGTCCTGACAGACACAGTCTGTCTTATGCCCAGGCTTACCCCATTGCTGTCGATGCAGGTGGCATTGCTGAGGGGACAGTCACAGCTTGGGCCTGTCCAATCAGGCTCACACACACACTGGCCCATGGAGCAGCGTCCTCGGTCTGCAGAAAGGGACAGGGAAGGGAGATGAGAGCCACATCTGCACCTGTAGTGCAGGCTGCCCACCTGGCAGGGAGGACCTGTGGGAGCAGAGCTGTGGGAGCCAGGATGCCTCTAGCCTGGGGCAGAAGTCATCTCTTCCTCACTTTCCTAGAATCTCCTTCCCTCCATCTCTGCCTTCAACCTGTCTTCTACCTTCCACTCTGCAGCCAGAGTAATCATCTCAAAACAAATCCAATCATGTGACTCCTGTTCCCCTGGCTAAGAACCTCTAATGGGTCCTGGCCAATGTGATAAGGTCAGAAAAATAAATAAGATCTGTAAGCATTAGAAGGTAAGAAAACTCTTGGCCAGGCATGGTGGCTCACACCTGTAATCCCAGCACTTTGGGAGGCCAAGCCAGGTGGATCATCTGAGCTCAGGAGTTCAAGACCAGCCTGGCCAACATGGTGAAACCCTGTCTCCCCTAAAAATACAAATATTAGCTGGGCATGGTGGTGGGTGCCTGTAATCCCAGCTACTTGGGAGGCTGAGGCAGGAGAATCTCTTGAACCCAGGAGGCAGAGGTTGCAGTGAGCCAAGATCTCACCACTGCACTCCAGCCTGGGTGACAAAGGGAGACTCCATCTCAAAAATAAATAAAATAAATACATTTTAAAAATTGTTCTTATTTGCAAGTATCAGGAACATGTCACAAAGTATCCAGAAGAATCTACAGATAAATTATTAGGTTTCATAGGTGTATTTAGCAAGGTGGCTGGATAGAGGCTTAATATACAAAGAGAAAATGAAATTAAAACTTCCAGTGACTCCCTTTTGTCCAAAGGATAAAGTCCTGCCCTGGACTAGAACCGAAGCCCTTTGTACTCTGGCCCTGCCTCCTTTCCCTGAGGCATCTTCCTCCTTTTCTCTCTCATAACTCCCTCTGTGCCACATGTCTGCCTTTCTCCAGTGGTGCCCAGTTCTCTCTTCTGTTTCTCTGAGCACACTCAGGGACAGACAGTTAAAGAGAAGAAATGGTAAACAAAAGCAAGAACAGAAGAAAGAGTAGAAAAGCAGGGGCTTGGAAAGTATACAGTGGGTGTATCATAAGTATTTGATGAGTAGATTTTCATTCATCCTCTTCCATTTGACTACCAATCCTTCCATACGCCCCCTTGTCCAAGTTCTGTGACCCTGTCTCACTCTGATGTTCCTGGTCAGACTGCGTGCCTATGGCTTGGACCTGTGAGAATATAGAGGAAGCTCCAGGCCCTCCAGCTAGAAATTTAGCATCTTTGGGCCAGGTGCGGTGGCTCAGGCCTATAATCCCAGCACTTTGGGAGGCAGAGGTGGGCTGATCACCTGAAGTCAGGAGTTTGAGACCAACCTGGCTAACATGGTGAAACTCCTCTCTACTAAAAATACAAAATTAGCTGGGCACGGTGGCGCATTCCTGTAGTTGCAGGGGCTTGTAGTCCCAGCTATTCGGCTGCTGAGGCAGAAGAATAGCCTGAACCTGGGAGTCGGAGGAGCTGAGATTGTACCTTTGCACTCCAGCCTGGGTGACAAGAACAAAACTCCGTCTCAAAAAAAAAAAAAAAAGAAAAGAAATTTATCATCTTTGGAGAGAGGAAAGATCATCATGCCATACACCTGCCAACAATTGGAGGGTGGGTGAAACCCTAATGAGATAAGGGTGTGGAGAAGGGGGGTGGAAATAGAACTGAACTGCCAGAGAGAACCTCAGGGGAGATGGAATCTGAAAACCAGGGGAAAGTCCCACCAGCAGTGGCCGTGGGCATGGACGTTGCAGATGAGAGAAGTGAGGTCCAGGTTGGGGCAGGACTTGGGGGCAGCCGTCAGGCAGCCGAACAGAGTGGGGCTGGGCCTGAACTTGGGAATTCTGATTCCAAACCAGGCTCTCCCAACCTGGGTCCTGACAGGAAGTTCACACTCAAGGTCCACCCCTTCCCCCCTTCCCCCGCTGTCAGCACTGGCCACAGCCATCGAGCTCACCATTGCAGAGGAACCCAGAGGTGCGGGGACACTGGAAGTTGTCATACTCGCAGAACTGACCCTCGTAGCGGCCTTCACCATAGCACACACAGTGCCCGCACTGGCACTCCCCATGGCCTGAGCACGGCTTGTCCTCGCCCTCCCGCAGGCAGGGCTGTATGTCACTCAGAGAGCCGGTGGAACAGTTGCAGGTCTGGCCACTCCTGAAGGAGGAACCGGTCACTTCCCCAAAACAGCCCAGGGGGAAGGCTGGGGCTTTTACTGTCCCATTTTATTTTTATTTTTTTAGACAGAGTTTCGCTCTTGTCACCCAGGCTGGAGTGCAATGATGTGATCTTGGTTCATTGCAACCTCTGCCTCCGGGGTTCAAGCAACTCTCCTGCCTCAGTCTCCTGAGTAGCTGGGATTACAGGTGCCCACCACCATGCCCAGCTAATTTTTGTATTTTTTTTAGAGACGAGGTTCACCATGTTGGCCAGGCTGGTATCGAACACCTGACCTCAGGTGATCCACCCACCTCAGCCTCCCAAAGTGCTGGGATTACAGGTGTGAGCCACCATGCCTGGCCTGCTGTCTGATTTTACAGACGAGGAAACTGAGGCTCTGAGAGGGCTGAGGCAACTCCAAGTCAAGCAGTCAGAAGTAGCTGAGCTGAGACGTAAACCCCAGTGCCCTGTCACCCCTTCCAGTGTCCTTTCCTCACTGCTATGCCTCAAGTCGTGACAAGCTCATCCAGTGTCCTGAAGCTAAAGCGCTCACTGCCGTGTGTTTACCAGCTCTCTTCTGATTAGGTAATAGGACACATGACTGAGAATACCAAAGGCATGGAGTGATAAGGAAGTCTCCCTCCTGTGCCTGTCCCCCAGTATTCAGACCCCAGCTCCAGTAGCCACCCCTGTCTCAATCCCCGCACCTTTTTCTAGAGATGGCCCATATGTCTCTATTTCAAAGTGCTGGGTTTGACCAGTAACTGGGTGTGCCCTCCCTCAGCCGTTTCTTTGATTGCCGCCCCACCCCGGCCAGGTGTACAAGGTACATGCAGGGTCAGGTCCCTGCAGGAGCCTAGACTTCCCATCAGGGGCCACTGGTGTCCTGAGCGCCCAACTCCCTTCCCCACTCACCAGCCCTCGCTGCACACACAGTGTCCACACATGAAGTCTCCGTTGAAGCTGCAGCGAGCTGAGCGCACCTCTTTTTGCTGGAATCAGACCATGGTGGGGTGCATTGGGGGGGCAGGCCTGGGGCCAATGGACCCTTCTGCTGCCCTCTGTGCCTTGGGACACCCCACATGGGAGATGGGGCACAGGAGTCCTGCTTCATTCATTAGGACCCCAGGGTGCTTGGCTCAGCTCTCCCCTCCTGCCCAGTGGAGCTATGTCGTACCAGCTCGCAAGGGCATACGTCACAGATGATGCCCACGTCCATCTTGAGGCCATCGGAGAAGGAAGGTTTCAGATGGATGTTGCCCTTCTGGTCCTCCTCCGGCAGCTGGCACACATGCGTCCCATCCACGTGCTCGATGGCCCGAAGCTGCACCTGGTACATGCCCTGCAGGGACCCTGTGGTCAGCCAAGGCAGGCCCAGCCCCAAGGACCAGAGGGCCACCGGTGCCTGAAGTTTCTAGGAGGTGTCTGGATCCCTGACACGAGCTCCTGCTCACCTCCGTCAGGGCTGAAAACTCCCTCCTTCCCAGCACAGTCACAATCACAGTGACAGTGACAGTGGCTGGGGCCTCTGGGCTTCGTGACACTAATCCATTTACTGCCCTAGCAAGCCTCAGAGCTTGATGCTCACACACAGAGGAAGCCAACAGGCAGAGGGGCATGCCGGGCTCATGGAAACGGCTGGCCCCAGGGAGTTGCACCCAGGCCTGCCTGACGCCAAGGGTTTCAGACGATTCCGCTCCAAGAGGGGTGCGATGCCTGTCCCCTACCCTGCTGCCCCCACAGAGGCGTACCACTTCCCCCCGCCGGATGTGAAAGGACCCTGTCTTCGTCTTCTGGAACATCTTGGAAGTGACCTCTGTCCGAAGGCCTCGGGGGCTATCTAGGGCCCGGATGTCCAGGTTGGAGCGGATGCGCTAAAGGAAGAAGGCGGTGGTCGGTGCTCTGCAGGGGGCCTGGCTGCACTCCACCCACCTTCATGTGCGGCTGGTGTCATGTGGGGTATCACAGAGCCTGTAGGAGCCAGGGCCAGGCTCAGGTGGCCCCTTTGGCCTCAGGGATAGCCAGAGACCCTTTCTCACCAGCCTGTCCCAGACCCATTTCTCCACCATGACCCAAGACACCCCTTGCCCACCTCCCACCCTGTCCCAGAAGGGCTCAGACTCCGGAGCCTGAGCTGCCCTCACATTGAAGGCCTCCTCCAGCAGTTCCACAATGTTGGATGAGTCCTCCTGCAGCACCCCCAGTGAGGAGACTGGGAAATAGGTGTGAAGCTTCTGTGGGAGAGAAGGCCAGGTCTCAGGCTAGGCAGCTCCCTGAATCTGAACAGCTCTGGGATTCTCCCCACTTTGAGGATGGGGAAACTGAGGCATGGAACCTGCTGTGGTGTTACAGAGCCTACCCTCTTAGCCCCATCTGCTTGGGACTTGGGGTAGAGGATGGGCACATGACCTTCCCTTCCCATTAGGGTCCACTCTTGGGGTGCCCAAATGCTTTGGGAAGGGAGGAAGGAAGAAAGGAAAGGAAAGGGAAGAAGGGAGGAAGGAGGGAGGGAGGAAGGGAGGGAGGAGGGAGGGAGGAGGGAAGGAGGAAGGGAGGGAGGGAGGGTTGCCTGAGAAACTCCATGGACCTCTGGCCTTGACCACCTCCCGCCATGGGTCCCCAGCTGCGTACCTCGTAGTAGCTATAGGAGTAGTTGGTGACAGCGAAGATGGGGATGATGTTGTGCTTGGCAAGCAGGCGCACCAGGGTGGGCACCGATGGGTAGTCCTGGGTCCTGTACTGGGTGTAGCTGCCTGTGGCATCCAGGTGGCACCGTTCATCATTTCGGTTCATGATGCCAGCCAGCACATTGGCACCGTCAGCCTCATAGTGGAAGGCTGACTCAGTAGAGAAGACTAGCAGGTGGGTGCTGTCTGGGCGCCAGCCAATGTCCCTCTGGGGAAGGCAAAGTGGGGCATGCCCACTGAGCAGGCTGCCTGCTGACACGCAGCACAGCATCATAGAGGATGGGGAACCAGGGTCCCAACACGGGGCCGGGCTTAAGCCACTGGAGTCACAGCAAGTGCCATCATGAAAGTTGTATGTGACAGCAGATGACTGAGTGACAAGGCTGAGAAAAATGAACCAGAGATGCAGCCCCCCCCAAGTAGCTGGGGCCACAGGCATGCACCACACCTAGTTAATTTTTGTGTTCTCTATAGAGATGGGGTCTTGCCATGTGGCCCAGTTGGTCTCAAATCCTGGACTGAAGTGATCCTCCTGCCTCAGCCTCCCAAAGTGCTGAGATTACAGGTGTAAGCCACCAAGCCTTGGCTTGCTTTGTTTTCTAACTTATTAATAAGGGTATCTTATTTTCTTTTTCTTTCTTTTTTTTTTTTTTTTTTTTTGAGATGGAGTCTTGCTCTGTCGTCCAGCCTGGAGTGCAGTGGTGTGACCTTGGCTTACTGCAACCTCTGCCTCCTGTGTTGAAGCGATTCTCCTGCCTTAGACTCCTGAGTAGCTGGGATGACAGGCACACGCCACCATGCCTGGCAAATTTTTGTATTTTTAGTAGAGACGGGGTTTCACCATGTTGGCCAGGCTGGTCTCGAACCCATGATCTCGTGATCCACTCGCCTTGGCCTCCCAAAATACTGGGATTACAGGCATAAGCCATTGCCTGTATACAGCCATGGGTGAAAATAATACAGCCATGGGTGTATTTTCTAAATGAACAAATGGATGTACATATCAAAGAACTGGCTTCTTTGGATACCCAGAACAGCTGGAGACTGGGCAGCTAGTGGAGCAGGGTACCCCAAAGCCCAGGTCTGCATTGCAGGCTGATACGAAACCAGGCTATGACTGCTCAGGCCAGGGGACTGTGGCTCCCAGCACATCTGAACCCAGATTATAACTGAGGACCATTCACAGAGTCTGAGCTTGTCTTAGGGCAAAGGGGTCGCAGGCTCCCGGGCTTCCCCTCAGGGCCTGTGAGCCTGGCACCAAAGCAGGCCAGGGGGCAGCTCAGGGCCTTGCCCAGAAGCGCTCACCCCTGGCCTGGGCTGGCAGCGCCCTTCCCGGTGCCCACCGTGCACACGGCTGTCTGCAGGATGGCATCGAAGCCGCCCTCAGGAGCATCCAGATTGCCCGAGATCCGCTCTCCCTGCAGTTTATTCCGAAACTCATCCACATCTTCTGTGAGGCTGATGACGTTCTTGAAGGAGAATGGGGGGTCGCTGTTGGGCCAGGGCTCCTTCAGCCTGGGCAGAGGTGGGAGGAAGAGAGAGCATCAGAGGGGATGACACTGTGGACTCCAGTGCCCCTGGCTTGTTTCAACTAGGAGAATTTTTTTTTTTTTTTTTTTGAGACTGAATCTTGTCTGTTGCCCAGGCTGGAGTGCAGTGGTGCCATCTCGGCTCACTGTAACCTCCTCCACCCAGGTTCAAGTGATTCTCCTGCCCCAGCCCTCCAAGTAGCTGGGATTACAGGTGGCCACCACCATGCCCAGTTAATTTTTGAATTTGTATTTGTCTTTTTAAATTTATTTTATTTTATTTATTTATTTATATTTTTATTTTTTTATGAGACGGAGTTTCGCTCTTGTTGCCCAGGCTGGAGTGCAATGGTGTGATCTCAGCTCACTGCAACCTCCACTTCCTGGGTTCAAGTGATTCTCCTGCCGCAGTCTCCCAAGGAGCTGGGATTACAGGCGCCCACCACCACTCTTGGCTAATTTTTGTAGTTTTTTAGTAGAGACAGGGTTTCGCCATGTTAGCCAGACTGGTCTTGAACTCCTGAGCTCAGATGATCCACCTGCCTTGGCCTCCCAAAGTGCTGGGATTACAGACATGAGATACCCCACCCAGCAGTAGAAGAATTTTAAGACTGTGGGTGAGAGATGAGCGGGGGTCACATGGCCCGGACCCCTGCCTATGCGAGGGGCCCACCCAGTCACTCACTTCTCAGGCCTCATGTCCGTCTGCGGGACGCTGACTTTGTCCACAAACTTGCCAAATCCAATAGTGTAGTCGCTGGTGAGCCGGCTCAGGACTTGAGCTGGGGTCAATAAGACAGAGGGGGATAGCTGAGCCCTGATGCCCCCATTCCACGATGTTCCCCATAAATGTATAAACATGGCCCCCCACGAAGGGCTGGCTCAGAAAGAAGGAAGAGGGAGGTTAACACTTTGCATGCTGGACAAAGGTTCTTGCTCAGAACATCGCCTGTTCCTATTTATGGATGGGGGGATGGGACTGGGAGGCTGGCGTTATGCATATGGCAAGGGCAGGGTGGCTGGGAATGCAACCCAGCTCTGTCTGAAGAGCAGAATCTTCCCCACAGCCTCGTGGCTGGGGGTGCCCTCTTTGTCAGGGCCAGATGGCTCCACTGCCTGCTTGCCCTGGGCCTTCTCTGAAGTCCCCCATGGTGAGTAGGGTCTGGCTGGGATTATTCCCTTGAGAATGGAAGGGAAGGTTTTTAGGGGCTCAAACGTCCTGTGTTTCCTTCTGGGTGGGTGCAGCTGTCCTGAGTCCTGGCCTCCCAAGCAGACACCCACTCTGTTCCCCTCCTACCCTGCTGTCCTCCACTCTGGCCCCGCCATACCCAGGTTCTGCCCCATCTTCTTGAGGTTATCCAGATCATCAGACATGGAGTTGGAGAAGTCCATGAGGATGTACAGGTCCACGGGGCTCTCCAGGGGCTCGAACACCTCCAGCTCAAAGTGCTGCTCCTCACCGGGCCGCAGCCGGACCCGCAGGCCCTGGGGGGATATCTGGCTGCGATGTAGGGTGGTGTCGATCTGGGTCTCCTGAAGCCAGTGGAAGGGGACAGCTGGCTGGAGGGTCACTCCGGAGGCCCGATAGGAGCCCAGCCTGGCCAAGGGGCCCACTGCACCCCCATAAACAGCCAGGTTGAGCATGGTGAGCCCCCGGCCCCCCCAGGCACCTCTGTGATCTGGAAGCTGCTCTCCATGACCATGATGCTCTCCCGCTGGCAGCCTGAGGCGAGCAGCTCTGCCCGGGTGTTGCAGCGCCGGTCCCTGAACATCTGGCCAGAAGGACAGGGGGTCAGCAGGGGCAGCATCTATCCCCTGGCTGCCCCGATACCAGATTCATTTCCACCAGCGAGTCCCGACCCTTGCCTTTTCCACACCCTCCCCTGGGCCAGGTCCTCACCTCATCTGTGCAGTAGGCGCAGTCCTTGTCCACACGAATGCACTCGGTGCAGCTCTTCACCGGGGCCTTCTTGCAGCGGTTTGCTGGGGGGCAGAGGTGGGCACGTGCATGGGGGAGGTGCTCAGCAAAGGCAAGCCCTTTCCCGCTTGCACCTTCACCTTCAGAGGTGAGGATTCCCTCCCTATGTTATTTATATATTTATTTTGGTTTGCTGCTGTTGTTGTATCTTTATTTTATTTTACTTTATTTTTGAGATGGAGTCTTGCTCTGTTGCTCAGGTGGAAGTGCAGTGGTGAGATCTCGGCACACTCCAACCTCCGCCTCCCAGATTCGAGTGATTCTCCTGCCTCAGCCTCCTGAGTAGCTGGGATTACAGATGTGCACCACCATGCCCGGCTAATTTTTGTATTTTTAGTAGAGTCGGGGTTTCACCATATTGGCCAGGCCAGTCTTGAACTCCTGACCACAAGTGATCTGCCCCGCCTCAGCCTCCCAAAGTGCTGGGATTACAGGCATGAGGTACCGCGCCCCAGCCTGTATTTTAATTTTATTTAGTTTTGAGATACGGTCTTGCTGTGTCGCACAGGCTGGAGTGGGGTGGCATGATTATAGCTCACTGCAGTCTCGGCATCCTGGGCTCAGGCAATCCTCCCACCTCAGCCTCCCAAGTAGCCCAGCTAATTTTAAAGTCTCAGATCTGGCAGACTTTCCTCAGCCTTCCCTGTTACCTTTGATGAGCTGCACCTGGCACCAGGCCCTTTTCAGGTCCCTCCTCCATCACAGCTCACGCCTCACAGTGAGACCACGGCCACATGGCCTGTCTGTGCTCTGAGCCTCCTCCAAGGTGAAGGGAACAATGTCTTAGATACCATGGTAGCCCCAGCGCCTAGCACACCCTGCACTTAGTAGGCCCTCAGTAACGAATGAGGCAAAACTCTAGATTTCCCCCAGAGGTTATAGGGATTCCCCTTGGTTCTGCTCTGTTAAAAATCACAGTGAGGACCTACTATGTGCACCTGGTATCCACAGTAAGTGGCCTCCTGGGCTTCAGGCAATGGTGTACTGGTCGTGTTTAACAGTGGCTCTGGTGGCCAGTGCCATGGCTCACACTTGGGAGGCTGAGGTGGGAGGATTGCTTAAGCCCAGGAGTTTGAGACCAGCCTGGGTAACATAGTAAGACTCTGTCTCTAAAAACAATTTTTTTTTTTGGGACGAAGTCTCACTCTGTTGCCCAGGCTGGAGTGCAGTGGCATGATCTCAGCTCATTGCAACCTTGAGGTTCAAGTGATTCTCCTGCCTCAGGCTCTTGTGTAGCTGGGATTACAGGCACCTGCCACCACACTCAGCTAATTTTTTGTATTTTTAGTAAAGAAGAGGTTTCACCGTTACCCAGGATGGTCTTGACCTCCTGACCTTGTGATCCACTCACCTCAGCCTCCCAAAGTGCTGGGATTACAGGCATGAGCCACCGTGCCTGGCCAAAACAATCGTAAAAAATTAGCCAGGCATAGTGGTGCATGGCTGTGGTCTTAACAACTCGGGAGAGTGAGGTGGGAGGATTGCCTGAGCCTGGGAAGTCCAGGCTGCAGTGAGCCATGATGGTAGCACTGCACTCTGCCTGCACGATAGAGCAAGAGCATGTTTCTATATAGATATTGAATTAAATAAATACACAAAGAACAATGGCTCTGGTCTCTGGTGGGTGGGGGGCCTTGACGTGTAGTGTTTGCCAATTTCTGTGATGTAAACATTTCCATCATTTGGTCTATTTCAAGCCAGCAGCAGGACCCCCACTGACAGGCAAAATTCAAGTGGTAGGAGCTGGCCCCAGTAATTTGTCCACTGGTGACACTCAGAGAGCAGGTGACATGTCAGCTGTCTCTCTCTTCTCCAAATTCCTATAACCTTTTTTTTTGAGACAGAGTTTTGCTCTTGTTACCTAGGCTGGAGTGCAATGGCGCGATCTTGGCTCACCACAACCTCCGCCTCCTGGGTTCAGGCAATTCTCCTGCCTCAGCCTCCTGAGTAGCTGGGATTACAGGCATGCACCACCATGCCCAGCTAATTTTTTGTATTTTTAGTAGAGACGGGGTTTCACCATGTTGACCAGGATGGTCTCGATCTCTTGACCTCGTGATCCACCCGCCTCAGCCTCCCAAAGTGCTGGGATTATAGGCGTGAGCCACCGCACCTGGCCTCAAATTCCTATAACCTTCTTGACTCCACCTCTGAGGCCTCAGTGCATCCTCTGGGTGCCTCAGTTCTGAGTGGGCGTCTCCTCTCTCCTTTAGACACAGCCTCCTTCCCTCCTATTCTCAGGCCTGGTGGCCAGGACTCAAGATTCTCTGGGCTGCAGAGTTTAGGGCCTCAAGTGTTCCAGCCCTGGAGGTGGGCAGTGGTCAGCTGCTGAATGGCCAAGAGTGTTTAGGTGAGACCCCGTGAGACCTGCATGCAAGGGCAATGTCTGCCCAAGGTGTGCCCCTGCCAGGAGGAGGGTTCAGAACAGTGTGGACTCACCCAAGGCCCCAGAGAGGCTGGCGCTGATCAAGGCTGCCAGTAGCAGCCTGGCCCATGGGCTGGGGTGTGGCCCTGCCATCCTCTTCCTCCTGCAGAACAGCAACAATTGACACATGAGGCCTCAGCAGCCATGGCCGGTGCCATCAGCTGCCTCCCACTGCACAGCTGTGGAAACTGAGGCTCTGAGAGCACCAGTGATGTGACCAAGGGCACCCAGATGTGAGAGGCAGGGCTCTGGGCCTCTAACTCCTGCTTTTTCTGCTGCCCTGTTCCGTACCATCCCCAAAGTGGCTGAATGCCCTGTAGGCCTGTGCCCTGCCCAGGAGGGCCCTGTCCAGCCTTCAAGGACTCTGGTTTGTAAGCCTGTCCCAGTGCCAGGCCTCTCGGCACTGGGCTCCCTGAGGACAGAGCTGGGTTTATTCTTTGCCTTTCAGCCCCCAGTGGGCCTGGGTCAGGATTGGCCATGATGGGTCAACCAATGAGGGGGCCCTCCTAAGAAGGGGTCATGGCTCTGCCTCCTGCTCCCTCTGTCCTGGCCCACTTACCCTTTGGTGAGGGTGGCGCAGATGGGAAGAGAGGGGCCCCTCCCAATACCTGGGGCGGGGGCCATGCAGTGGCTTGCTGCACGGGGCTGTCTCACAGTGACTGCCCGGCCCATCAGGGTGGGGTCTGAATCCTCTGCCCTACCCTGTACCTCTGTCTGCCCCAGAATTAGGTTTTCGGGGACCCCCAAGCCGTTCACCCTTTCACAAGTTAGCCCAGAGTGAGACCCCCGCACACACACTGCGGCTCTCCAACCAGACATCCCCAGCAGCTGTGGGTTCACTATTAAACCATCCTAAGTCCTCAGCAGCCTTCAGGGCAGGCCTGGGCATCCCTGAGGTCCTCTAAGAGATGTGCAGCCTGAAGGCCTGGGCAAGAAAAGTGGCTGGCAGCAGAGTCACCTGGGCCTTCAGGCCTGGGGCAAAGGTGAGCACCATGTCTTTCTCTAGGGCCAGGTCTCCCAGAGGCCCAAGCCTCCGCTATGCCCACTGGCCCTCCCACCTTGAATCCTTTCTCAGCCCAGCTTGTGGGGCAGCGGCGGCCCCAGGGTCTGTGGGCTAAGGTCCCTGAGGTGCTGAAGAAGCCCTTCTCAGGCCAAGGTCAGGAAGGCATTGCCTGCCTGTAAGGCGTGCAGCCTGGAGGAGGCCACAGCAGCGCCCACACATGCAGGGCAGACAGATCAGGAGGCAGCCCTGAGCCAACAGGGAAGGGTGGGGACAGCGGGGTTCCTAGAGGGAAATGACTTCCTTGCAGCCTCGGGGTGTAGGTGCCACACCCACATGCTACACAATGCAGACTGCAGGCTCAGGCCTCCCAGACATCATTACACAGGCAGGTACAGGCCTGGAGAGCCAGCCCAGCTCTTCCTCCCACTCCCTGTGGCCACAGCCCTGCAGGCAGTGCTGATTTCACCACCGTGACTGCCACATGCGCCCCGGGCTTCACGGAGGTGATTGCTCAGCACAGGAGCCCGGCATGGAGATGCTTGTGTTATACCGGTTTCCCAGATGAGAGACCGGGCACAGAGGCTGTGGGGCTTCCCCATCCTGCAGTCAGCATTGGGAGGCCAGGACCAGACCCCGCTCTGCAGACCTGCCTTTAACCTCCATGGCAGCCTCCATGAGGAGGCTATAAAATGGCAGTTAGAGGGCTGGCGAGGCACCCGAGTGTGTGGCTTGACCGAACTTGTTTCAAAAGTTTTAAAAGTAGGAGCCAATGTTAGAAGCAATGAGATTTCACATAAAAGGAATTGGTGTTAACATGTGTCATGATGGGCCTGGCCCAGTGCTCAGGACACCCACTCTCCGGACAGCCCGGGCGCCACCAGGCTGCCCTGACTGTATGTACCAGCCAGTCCCGGGAGTGTGTGACTGCTGCCCTGAATGCCATCACACTGCAGCACAGGCAGCTTGCCCACACAGGGACACACACAGACACACACACACACACACACACACAGGCCATGCCCACCTGCCATCAGATTCAGAGCTCCCTGGCCCCCATCCCAACCCTTGGGGATACCTCTGGGCACATCTACTCCTGCCCACCACCCCCTCCTGCTGTCACATCTCCTTCCTTCACCCTCGGGGCAGCTGCCCAGAAGTCTGGAGAGCCCAGGCCCTTGGCTGCTCTGTCATCCCCTAGAAATCAGGGCCAAGAAGACAGACATGCCTCCCCTGCTGTCGCTCCTGCTGTCCTCCCCTTGGCCCCCAGGATGGAGACTCCAATCCTTCACTGCCAGCTCTGTTGGGGACAGCAACAATCATGCCACTTGTGCCTGGTACTTGTCCTCAGGGTGTGGCAAGGCCATGGGGGAGGAGGAGGAACCCTGTCTCTGCCCCTGGGAGTCACCAGGAGCCCCAGAGCCCCAGTCCCAGCCAGAGGCCACCCCAGGGGCCGGGGCGTGGGAAAGAGGGCCAATGCTGCAGGAGGTGGCAGCGTTGGGCACAGCCCCGGGGCTGTTGGGTGAGGCCAGTAGAGCTTCCTGAAGGAAGGCGCCTGCGGCCGACTTTGGGAGGAGGGCAGGCCTGTGCTTAGCCAAGAGAAAAGGAAAATCAGGGACTCCCCAGCACCAGATGGACTGTGGCACCGCACGCAGCAGGCCTTGCCTGGAGCAAGGAGGATGTCTGCCTCTCTACTTTTAAAAGTAGGAGCCAGTGTTAGAAACAACGAAATTTCACATAAAATCAGGAATGTGGGTTTATCATCAGATGTGCCATGATGGGCTGGACCCAGCACTCAGAGTGGCTTCTCCTCCACCTTCTTTGCAAACCCTAGAAGGGGCCCAACCCCACAGGCCTGCCAGCCACCGACCTCTGCCTACTTCTCCCGCAGGCGCACCAAGGGGCTCCTTTGACCTGGAGGTCTGATGGGCACCACGCTTCTCCAGCAGCCCTGTCCCTCGGCTCCCAGCTGCCCCGGTGCACTCCGGCGAGGCTGGTCACCTGTCCTGGGCAGTGTCGACGGAGGGACCCGGGCCTGCCAGCCTTCAGGGAGGGGAAGGGGAGACAAAAGCCACCGGCTCCGCCCGACCAGCTCCCCTGCGCTGCTGCCCGGCTGGGGCGGGCACTCACCCTCTCCCGGGCAGCCCTGGACCTACCTCGGCGCAGAATTATGTCCTCTGCGGCTGCCGCTAGGAGATGGGGCTACAGCGCGCGGACTAGCCGGGACGCTCCGAGAGCAGGCGCGGGCGGGGACGGGGCGGGTAGCGCTTTATGGGGCGGGCGCGCAGGTAGGAAGGAGGCGCTGGTGAGTCAGGCGGGCCGCATTCCTTCGCGCCGCGCGCACCTGTCGGGGCAGGAGCTGGGTGCCGCCACCGCGGCCGCCGCCGGGTCCGCCCCCCGGAAAGGGCTGCGGCTCCCGCCGCGCCAGCCCAGCGCCCCGATCGGCCAGCGGCGGGGGCCGGGGGAGGAGCCACCGCTCTCCCTCTCTCTCCGGTCCGGCCCCGGGCGCGGGGCCTCCCCACCCCTCCAGGCTCCGGGCTCCAGGCTCCGTGCGCGGGCTGCCCCGGGCTGGAGGGGGCCCCTTAGCTCCCCGCCCGCACGGGAGCCCTCCTTGCTCCGACTCTGGTCGGCGAGCCACCGCCGGCTGGACTGTGCTACTGCTGCCCCGACGGCTGTCAGCCGCGCGCCCCCCTCCTTGATCCCAGTGCCAGCGCGAGGCGTGGGCCCAGGGAGGGCCTGGGCCCAGGTCGGGAGGCCGGGCTCCCCGTCCCAGCTCTGCTCTGCAGTTCACAGAGTCCTCTCAGCCTCTTACCCAGTAACCTCATGTTGTGTCCAGAGGGAGATCCGAGCAAGGGTCGGGTCCTCAGTGTGTACTTGAACAAGCTACTTAAACCTCCTTAAAATGTGAACAATGATACCCTGGAGAGGCCAGGGCCAACCTGGCATTGATTGGCACTCAATGCCTTGTTACGGTTGTTCTTGACAAGCCAGTTACCGAGCTGCCGTCTCAAGTGCCACTGGTTACCACGGGTGTTCAGGTCAGACCTCTTGAGGAGCTCCATGACCCCAACGAGCTCCATTTTTCTGTTTTTTCTTTTTCTTTTTCTTTTTTTTGAGACAGAGTTTCTCTGTGTGGCCCAGGCTGGAGTGCAGTGGTACAATCTCTCGGCTCACTGCAACCTCTGCCTCCCAGGTTCAAGCAATTCTCCGGCCTCAGTCTCCTGAGCAGCGGGGATTACAGGAACCCACCACTACATTTGGCTAATTTTTGTATTTTTTAGTAGAGACGGGGTTTCGCTATGTTGGCTAGGCTGGTCTTGAATTCCTGACCTCAGGCGATCCACCCAACTTGGCCTCCCAAAGTGCTGGGATTACAGTCGTGAGCCACCGCACCTGTTCAGGGCTCCATTTTTCTCTAGCCTCACCAGCCAGCAATGGCAAACAACACTAGACTGCTGGCAGAGCCCTGCCCAAACCATGTGGTTTCAAGCTACCCTGCCTTTGAAACAGGCTGATCCCTTCCCATGTTGCTGAGCCCAGAGTATCCTTCTTGTCCTTGAAGACGTTTCACCAACCACGTGCTACAGAGCCTCCCTTGACCTCTCCACACCCCAAGTTGGATTATGTATCCCCATAACCCTCGGGCCATGGCTTTTTCATGGCATTTGCCACATTAGTTTGAAATGATGTTGGCCAGGCTCGGTGGCTCATGCCTGGAGTCCCAGCACTTTGGGAGGCTGAGGGGGATGGATCACCTGAGGTCGGGAGTTCGAGACCAGCCTGAGCAACATGGAGAAACCCCATCTCTACTAAAAATACAAAATTAGCCAGGCATGGTGGTGCATGCCTGTAATCTCAGCTACTTGGGAGACTCAGGCAGGAGAACTGCTTGAACCCAGGAGGTGGAGGTTGCAGCAAGCCAAGAGTGCACCATTGCACTCCAGCCTGGGCAACAAAAGCGAAACCCCATCTCAAAAAAAAGAAAGAAAGAAAGAAAAAAGAAATGATGTTTAGGAATCTCTCTATGGGGTTGGACTGTGACTCCAAGAGCAGCTCCTCTCTAACACCTGCACTGTGCCTGGTGCATAGCAGATGCACCCTCAATAACAGGGTGGTGGAGAGAATGGGATTGTCACACAACCTCCCTGAGCCTCCGTGCTCTGTCTGTAAACAGATTCCTGTGCTGCCAACTCTCTGATTGTGGAGGTGCTGGTTGCAAATGTGTGAGTCACCACATTTCCCGGTCATCTGAGAGCTGGTCTGCACAGAGAAAGTGCTCAGAGAGGCTTGTTCCTGGATTTGGGAACAGAGTGGAAGGAGACCATTTGGTTGAAGCACTTAGGTCTGTGTGTGACAGGCCAACACAAGCTCCCTGCAGACCTGAGCCACTCCAGCAGGTACCCAGTCTACCCTGAAAAACAGGAGCACAGAGCAGGAGCTCAGAGAAGAGCCAAAACCAGCCTGCCCAAGGACTCTGGGTCTGCCAGCAGCACCCATTAGAGAACTGAGGGGTGATATATACCCCACTGCAGGTGGGGCTGAGGCTCTTTCCTAGAGAAGAGCCAGGTTCAGAGATGGTGATGCCCCAGGCCACTGGGGTCAGCAACCCCTCCTCTCCTTGTTGCAAACCCTTCTGAAATTGACTAGGAGGCTTGGAGCCCTGTAGCAGCTGAGAGGCAAGGTGTCCACCCCAGGGAGATTTCACTAAGATAAGCCGTGAGCTTCCTTGGCTTCTCAGAGTCCTGGGATTCATTACCCACATGTGGACCTGGTGGGGGAGTCCCTGAACCCTCTCGGATCTTGTGCAAACCTTGAGGCGTATCTGATTTCAGAGTGTGGATTTGCTGGGAAGGGGATCCTTAGTTTACACTGGATTCCCAAACAGGTTACTTACTGGCCTCAGAAGGTTAAATATCACTGTACTACATGTGATTTTTTTTCCTTTTTTTTTTGAGACAGTCTTACTCTATTGCCCAAGCTAAAGTGCAGTGGTGTGATCCTGGCTCACTGCAAACTCTGCTTCCTGGTTCAAGTGATTCTCCAACCTTACCCTCCTGAGAAGCTGGGATCACAGGTGCATGCCACCATGCCTAGCTAATTTTGTATTATTAGTAGAGACAGGGTCTCACCATGTTGGTCAGGCTTGCCTTGAACTCCTGACCTCAGGTGATCTGCCTGCTTCGGCCTTCCAAAGTGCTGGGATTACAGGCATGAGCCACTGTGGCCAGCCTGCATGTGAATTTTATAAAACTAAAATAAACCCTACTGTCTCTGCAGCCTTAGGGCCAGAGTGAGGTCAGCTCATAGGGGGCTTCCTAGGCTCTGCAAGGGAGGTGAAGCCCCTGGATCAGGACTGAGCCTAAGGACCTTGAATTGTTGAACCCAGGAGGCAGAGGTTGCAGTGAGCTGAGACTGCACCACTGTACTCCAGCCTGGGCAACAGGCTATTTGGGAATACAATGTAAGCTAAGGATCCCCTTCCCAGCAAACCCACACTCTAAAATCAGATACGCCTTGAGGTTTGCACAAGATCTGAGATGGTTCAGGGACTCCCCACCCCCGCTGCCAGGTCCACATGCGGGTACAGGTAATGAAACCTAGGCCTCCAAGAAGCCAAGAAAGCTCATGGCTTATTTTACTCCCCGACTCCCCTGCATTCCACATGTGGCCTCCAGCAGGCCAGACTTGTTCATTCATTAGTTCAATCACTTATTCATTTCATGAGCATTTAATGAGCACTTATGCCAAATGCTGGGCATACCAAATAAACAAAACCTATAGCCTGCTTGCTTCATTCCCAGTTTAAACCAGGGGTCTCCAAAGTAGGCCACATATTCTCTAGGCAGGTGCTAGCTGAGACCCTATCCCCACTTTTGTTTGAGACACAGTCTCGCTCTGTCGCTCAGGCTAGAGTACAGTGGTACAATTTCAGCTCACTGAAACCTTTGCCTCCTGGGATCAAGTGATTTTCCTGCCTCAGCCTCCCAAGTAGCTGGGATTACAGGTGTGCCCCACCATGCCCAGCTAATTTTTGTATTTTTAGTAGAGATGGGGTTTCATCATGTTGGCCAGACTGGTCTTGAACTTCTGACCTCAGGTGACTTCTGCCTTGCCCTCTCAAATTGTTGGGATTACAGGCGTGAGCCACTGTGCCCAGCCCTAAGCCCTTATTCTTATGCTTGAGGATGTATATTACTTATTGGTAGATTGGCACCTGTTTTATAAAAAAAAAAACAACAAACAAGTTAAGGAATAAATAGACAGGATTATGTGTGATGGAGTCCAGTGACCTGTCTGGAGAGCCCACATGAACCACATTTTCAGACTTGTGGCAGAGGCCTCTCCAGTGCAGAATCCTGGGGTTTGTTGTTTTCTCCTCAGAGTCAAGGGGTTACTCAATAGGCCCCCTCTTTTCTGAGACAGGGTCTAACTCTGTTGCCCAGGCTGGAGTGCAGTGCCACAATCAAGGCTCCCTGCAGCCTTCACCCCCTCAGGGATCCTCCCACCTCAGGGAGGGATCCTCCCACCTTAGCTTCCTGAGTAGCTGAGACTACAGGTGTGTGCCACCATGCCTGTAGATAAATTTTTAATTTTTATTTTGTAGAGACAGAGTTTCACGATGTTGCTCAGGTTTGTCTTGAACTCCTGGGCTCAAGCGATCCTCCCGTCTCAGCCTCCCAAAGTGCTAGGATTACAGGTATGAGCCACCATGCCCCCAAAAGTTGAAAGAATACAAAAATCACCTGTATTTTTTATCACCTAGACTCAAGAATAACATTTTGCTGTATTTTATTTCTATATTTGTTATACATTTGCCATTTTAAAATTTGAAGTTGCAGATATTCTGCTGTTTCATCCAAAACTCCAGCATGTATCTCTCAGTAACAGTACCCCATGTCACCTCAGTGTTTTTCCTTCAGAGTTTTGCTCTTGGGAGGCTGAGGCAGGCTGATCATGAGGTCAGGAGTTTGAGACCAGCCTGGCCAATATAATGAACCCCTTGTCTCTCTACTAAAAATACAAAAATTAGCCAGGCGTGGTGACGCAAGCCTGTAGTCTCAGCTACTCAGGAAGCTGAGGCATGAGAATTGCTTAAACCCACGAGGTGGAGGTTGCAGTGAGCTGAGATCGTGTCACTGCACTCCAGACTGGGCGAGCAAGTCTCTGTCTTAAAACAAAACAAAAAAATTAAAAAGAAAAAAAAGAGGTGATCTAGGGAGGAGGATGATGCTTTGTCTCCCTGTCCATTTCCCTACAAGCTTTCACTGAATTGTTTTAGCACTCATTGGTGACCTGGCTTGAATCAATTACAGACTGTCCCCAACCAGATGGTTTGATTTAGAATTTTTTAACTTTAAGATAAGGTTTATTGGGATGAAACATCATAAGTTTAGCATTTGGACTTAGAATGATTTAAGTTTTTTTAAATTTTTTTAGAGATGGAGTTTCTCCTTGTTGGTCAGGCTGGTGACCTCAGGTAATCCACCTACCTCGGCCTCCCAAAGTGCTGGGATTATAGGCGTGAGCCACCACGCCTGGCCTTCCCCCCACCCCCTCCCCGAGACAGAGTCTTGCTCTGTCTACAGGCTGGAGTGCAGTGGCACGATCTTGGCTCACTGCAACCTCTGC